CTGTTCATCGATTCCGCCTCTTCGTACTTGCCTTGGCGCCCCAGCACTCCCGCCAAGTTGCTCATGCTCGTCAGCGTGGAAGGATGCTCAGGCCCAAGCACCTTCTCTCTAGTATCTGTTGACACCCGGAGAAACCCCTCCGCTACTCTATACTCCCCTCGGAGGAGTAGATACCAGCCCGCACGAAGAGCACTCTTTGCTTGGTTTAACAAATCCTCCTCATCTTCTGTAGCATGGCTGATAATCTCTTTGACATGGGGAAGGAGTACTTCACATTCCTCCCAAGTCTTGTATTCTCCACTTGGAAATGCTGCACTAAGAGCCCGCACTGATTCCTTCACCCACTTACTCAGCTCCTTCTCCGCCTCGAGCCACGTCCTCATCGACAGCTGCACGAGCCGGTGCATCTCTAATGCCTGCTCCCCAATCTCAGTCCTCACGAGGGAAAAGCTAAGCAACGGCGCCAGAGCATCGTCGAAGTCCAGCTGGCTTACGCTATTGGTCTGCAGCAGCCATCTCGGGATTCCCTGCTTGTCAAACATGCTCATCATCGCAAGAAGATCGGCAGCCGACGGCGCCGTCTTTTGGATATACTTGAACGAGATCTGCCATGTCGCAATCACTGCATGCCGGATGCTGTGGTCGCGTCGAATGTCTTTCAACTCCTTCTTGCCGAGGAGATGCATCTGGTTGGCTTCACTCTCGCGGAACAGCTCGAGGTACGTGGACACGGTGGTTGTCGCTGCTCTTGTCTCGATGTACGTCGCGGCGTGCGTGATAGCTAGAGGTATCCACTCCAGCATCCGAACAAGCGCCTCGGCGTCTACTCGGCTGGACTCACTAAACGGCACTCTTGTCCGCAGCAGGGCCAGCGCGTCCTCTTCCTCCATCGGCTTTACCTGGACAATGCCGCCGGTTCCCCCAACGAGATTGACCGCTGCAGTTTTGTTCCTTGATGTGATTACGATCATTCCATTCGCCGTCTGAGGGAGGAAGCTCTCGAGCGGGCCGCTGTAGTCCGCCGCGTCGACTGTCTGCAGAGGGCCCGCGTTGTCTTCGTCATCACCAAAGAAAACGCTATTGTCGTCGACGTTATCGAGTATCATAAGCCACTGCCCATTCCTCCTGTCTGACAGCCAGGCATAGACCAACTGCAAGACATCCGCCTTTGAGTCTTCCCACCCGGGCAGTAGGAGCTTGTAAGCGATATCTCTGTATCCTTGCCGAAATCTAGTAGGATTGCTTGCGTGTATCCAGACGACTCGGGTGTGCGGCTCCGCCTTTTGGACACGGTATGCATACTCGATCGCGACTTGCGATTTCCTAACCACTGTCAGTGCTGTAGTCTAGAAGGAAACTATGCAATACTACTGACCCTACACCTCCTAGGCCAACAAGAGCCACGCGTGTGTGTGTCTGTGAGGCTCGATGCTTGCTAACTTCTGCGATGATGTCTTCTCGGCCAACAAAGCAGTTGTCGCGAGAAAAGGGGACCATGAACAAGGCATCATTTGCTAGTAAAAGAACCTTTTGTGAGCGTCCTATAACGCTATACTTGACAGGTAATAGTCTTACGTACATGCAACGTCCGCCACATCCGCAACGTTAGTAGGCGGTAGCTGCTGACTTCCAAGCTCTTGTCGGACGAAGGCTTTCAAGACGCCAGAAATGGCACGATAGCCTTGATCGTCTTTGCTGCTGTACCTGGTCATCTGCATGTGATTGGCATCTATGCTTTCGACAGTCTCTAGCGCTCGTGGGAGGTCGAGTTTTGACGAGAAGTCGTCTACTACCTGCAGCCATCAGCCTTGTTTCGACTTGTCTGCGGTGCACGACTTATAGCTAACAAAAAACATACTTTCTCGTTCAGCCCTTTCATACCAGTGATGCTCCGTGCCTCCTGAAATGAATGAATCTTCATTGTCCCCTTGAACGCGATCGTCTTGAACTCCTCGTGAATGTTGTCTAGAACTTCGTTGTTTACTTCTAGCGTCTCGAGAATCTTCTTGTTCGAATCTTGAAGTGTGAGGGACGCAAGGTTTGAAGCAATCTGGCCCCAGCCTGCATACGCACTCCCTCGGTGCGGCGTCCCGAGGAAGATGATGAGCTTCGTTTGTTCACGGATCAGCTCTGATCGGTGGATAGCCTGTAGCAACAAATAAGCAGAGTTGTCGTTATAGCATGGACAACTAGGCCAATACATCTTTGACAATAATGCCACCCAGACTGTGTACCACGAACGCGATCGGTTTCTACACCGCTGTTAGAGCTAACTTCAAGCGAATACAGGCTGGCACCATCCTACTCCATTCCCAATTTCTCTCTCTAGTCTGACCGACAGGTCCCGACCATGCTGTGAGATGCTGTTCTTGTTGTTCGCCTGGAAAAGACCTCCGATAACGTCTGCGTTATATCCGTATGTCCACACCTGGGCTTCAGGGACATCCGGCACGAGGTACTCTTCCGGCCAGAAGATTGTAGACGATGGTAGTGACGACGAGGCGGGGATGGAGGAGGGAGCGTGCGCTTGTTCAGTGTCTGTTGCTGAAGACTTGACCGTTCGTCGCTTGAACAAGGCCCTGAAGCTCTTGGGCTTTTTGGTCGCGTCGCTGCTGCTACTGTGGCTCGCGCTCGCCGCCGCTTCCCAAGTTCCTCGAGGATGACCTCGAAGCCCGTGGACGAACACGATACTGCGAATCGTCAGCAGAACTCCTCCGATATTTGAGGACGCGGTCTTACTTCAAGCAAGACTGGTCATCGTTCTGATCTCCAGCAGTCAGCCTTGTGAAGCTGTGCCGGTGTACGGTTGCCATGCGCGCTGCACGCTTGAAAGCGCGTCACCCGCTTAAGAGCAGACAACAGGGTGCACAGTTATCAAGGGTCAAGTCTGTAGACTTCGTCGAGACTGCAGTGAGTGTGTATCGAGGAGGGAGGATTGTAAGCCATCACCACCAGTGCAGCGAAGTAGAAGTCGCAGGCGCCATCGATCTCAGCCTCACGCACAGCGGCTGTAGGTAGAGCGCAGCGCGAACTGGACGATGGCGCCTTGCCAGTTATCGGGCTCGATATGCCGCCGGCCTGGCGTGCTGGGCACTCCTCCGGAGCCACCCATAAATTGTCACGTGATGTCTATTTTTAGGTACGGGGACTGCGCCGCTCATTAAGACTAGCTGTCGATTTGTACCTCCTCGATCACCACCATCGTGAACATGGATCGAGCTAGTCTGGCTCTCGTTCAAGTGCTTCCTGCAGATGTGCCTAAAACCTATGCTCTTTTGGCACCCTTCAGCATCGCGATCGCGGACGACGCTCGACAGAAGAGCATGCCAAAAGTCAACAATACCTTACTCCAGAAGAAAAAGCTATTGTTAGGTTCCTCCTACTTATGTCTAACCTTAGGCACCCTGTGCGTATCAAGCTCATAGTTCATACCCTCACTAGCCTATAGTATCGCCCGCCAGCGGTCTACAACATATATGCCAATCAAGCCCCTCGACAAGAACTAGCCGCTAGCCTTAAGAAACGCCATCCTGCGCTCAATGCAAAGAGAGCCAGGGCAATTAACTAGAAACCTCACAGGAGCAACATAAATCCTAAGACAATAGAGTGGTTTACGTGATTAGTAGTACTATAGGATCTAGTTGTCCTGCCAGAGAATGTCTATTAAATAGATAAGACAGGTGTTATGCTAAGTATGCTAGGCTCTGTTAAGGTTCTTGTAGGCAAGGACAACCTACAAGGCTATAGAAGCGCTGGTGTGAAGCAGACAATAGTTACTGCTATTAAGTGAGTCAACTAATGCTAATAGTAGGTCGCTGCATCCTCTTATAATTTAGCCAGCTTTAACACCCTAAAGCAATTAGACTACACACCCTGCCCCTTGATAGTACTACAGATTTTCTAAGAATAGGTTTAATAACTCTAAGATTAGCTTAGAGTGGTTCACGTGCTTTTTTAATTCCCAAACTAAAGGACTAGGTAACAGCAAACTATAGATGCTAATCAGCGACAGTTTTAGGACTTATAAGACGCTAGAGATTCTAGAGTTCCACTTTAAAAAAACAATATTATTATCTAGTGTTGTCTGCCTTGTACCTCTTACAAGCTCTAGCCCTGTGACGGTAGACTCTTCGCCTTCTTGAAGACAGCATATCGCAAATAAGATTAAGCAGCTGAACAGAGGAGGTGTAGATATAATTAGCAAACAGCATTTTACCTATTTGTACATATTTGTACATGCCAGCAAGGGAGAGGGCGTTAACTAAAAGGAACATTACCGGCAGGTGGTCTGCCACTAGTTTGTTTCCTTTCAACCCTGAGTGAGTACTCTGAGATATACTAAAGCAGCTCACAGAACTTACTCTTCCTCAAGCTAACAGAGTTGTAGAATACTGCCCTCAAGACAAAGTTTTATTAACTCCTATAACGCCTATCACGCTAGTAACAATAGAGGACCTTACGTCTTTATACAACTAGATTAAAAAGAATACTTGTGCATTTGATGAGCCAAAAAGACAGCGCCTTCAGCGGCACGTACGGAAACTCGCGAGTACGGCCGATTATCCTTCGCTAAACGAGCTCCCCTCTAAGATCAACCTAAATTTCTGTTCCAGGTGAACAACGAAGGCAAAGCTCGTCGGTCAGTCAGATCAGTGGTGCTAGGGAAGGCAAAGATAATGAGCTATGACGATCTTGAAGAGGCACGAGCGAAGTGTGCCGCTAAAGACAAAGCTACCACAGACAAGAGTAAGGGCAAACGTTGCCGTAAGCGCAAGCCTTCCACACTGGAGGCAGAACTAGAGGCAGGGCTAGAGGCAGAGGAAGAGGTGGATACAATTTCATCGATGCCAAAGGACAAAGTCTAGGAGTGGGCGACGTGGAGGGCGCCAGTAGCGCAGATGTGATTAGGGGAATGTTATTACAGTGCAAGTATATTCTTCATAAGTTGCGGAACCTCAACAGGAGAATAACTAACTTCAGCAGATGCTCTGTGTCTGACGGCTATTGATGTCTTTTACGAACAGCTCCATGCACAGTCATAACGCTGACAGGCACAGTCTATGCTTACTACACAACTAACGTCTGTAATTAACTCTGTTGTGATTATGTAGGCAGTGTGGGGTCGTTCCAAACTAGCTAGAATTAGTACTCACTGTAGTGGCAGGTACCAACCGGGGGTAGCAATGTTGCATTGATTTGTGCGGTGCAGCAGACGCGAGGCTGATATGACTTCCAGGCTTCGTACTTCGTTTTTAAGACTGAGATAACACCGTTTAAGATTAGTTTAGACGAGGAAGAGCCTAATTATAGTGCTGTAAGAAAGGAACTCTGTGGTGTTATAGAATAAGGCATGTTGCGTGTCGGGCGACAAGGCGAACTACAGGTACGTAATTTTTAGGTAAAAGGGGTCCTAGATGTCTAAATGTAACTACAGTACATCGCCTATGCGTAGTTATAGTAATTATTAGTATGTGTATAGATATCTCATCACTTGAAGCTGAAGAACCCCTAATTTCTCATAATTCTCGGCGCAGAGAGTTTCTCGCCCCGCAGGGATAGACGTTACATGGGGAATTTAACCTAGATCTGGCTTGGCGCAATTGGTGCACTCTTTTCCCGACTCGCGACATTCAAAGTTTGCCCCTCGCTCTTTGCAAGTAATACCCGTGGTCTTCGCTTCGGAGCAGAGGTAGAGTTCCCACCGGGTACATTTGCAATCATATTCCCAAGAAACAAAGGTACACATCTTGGTTTGTGACCGTGCTAACACAATCCTAAAGGGTTTGTTCAGAAGTTAATGCAGTTGGACGTTGTCAGTCAGCATGTACGTGGGGTTCTTATATGCACAAGTAGGCATTGTATTGTGCACAAAGGGAACAAGTTGCATGACAGCTCATACTGATACTACTTCACAATGCAAATGTGAGCAATCAAGCAGCAAGATAAACGTTTCTCTTTAATTTAGAGAATTGACTTAGGAATTCCGTTGCGCGGAACCCTTAATAATTCACAAAACCTATGCCAAGCTGAACTTTCCACAATTTCCTCGCCAGTTGCTCCACGGAATGGGGATGTTCTTTATCTCCCGCCGCTAAATTACTTCAGAGCACTAATAGGTTATACGATCTTAATCCTAGCCGACAAAGATTCTTATACAGCAACCTCTGTAAGGCCTAAAAAATCCTAGCATTTCCCTTCAACATGGACCTCTCGATTTTGTCCACAGAAAGATAGATGGATGATACGACTCTTTTTGCCTAGAGGGCGCGAAACCCCACCTGTTGTATCCAAGCCCAGGCATCCAATTTCAGAATTTATCCATCGTGGCTTATAAGATGTTAGCGTCTGTCAAGTGTGACCAAATATATAGTAAAACGACCATGCCAAATTGATATATATTTGTGAGGACTTTTTAGGTCTTGTAGTTTCTGTTGATTTAGAAGATGTTTATGGCATCTTATATACATACCTTAGTAGGGGTTTGTACTCGTGTAGACAGACCGTCAAGTAGTACACAGCAGTACTCTTCTCCTGGTTGCCCATTGGATTAAAACGCAGCAGAGAAATGAGTACCAACGCCTTGGATTGCCAGCTCCGTCATACCAAGAGATCTAAAGTATGAGAAGACTAAAAGTGGCTGTGGCTCTTTAGGCTAGCAATAGCTCCCCGGTGCTTCTAAGAACAGGGGGATTTGTGGCGGACAGACCCTCATCAGACAAACCATCCTTGGACGCAATCTTCCTGTTGATACAAGTTCGTGCGCGGTGCGCCTCGCGATGGTGTGGTACGTTATTGCATTGCTAAATGCTGCAAGTGGAAACAGGTCAAACTCTAACTGGGCAGTAGAAGAATACATATAGGGGGATAAATGGACGTGTGATCATAATTATAAACGGTTTGATAGCACGTATTTGCTGCTTTGCCTAGGGCCACAGGGTGGAACGGGCTGCAAAGAGCTACAACTATATTGCGGCGGGAACGGTGCAGTTGGCGAGCATTATGGAAGGGGGTGAGAAACTTCCATACGATTTCTGGTTCGACTAGTCGAAGTCGGTCTAACCTAGTTGATTGGACGCCCTGGCTGAGAAGACAACTTTTAGGATACTTGCACCGTAGAGGGCCACTGAATCGAGTCATCTATTAGCCAACCCCATCGTTCATAGTGTGACATTGAATAAATAGGAAGCATTTGGAATTCTTGATTTCAACATTGGTAATTCTACACCCTCGCCCCACTATGTGCATCCGAATATACACTCATGGGAGTCCTGACCATAATCAGGCATCACGTCCTCCGTTAGGCCTTAATACTTGACAAAATTTCCCTCTCAACACCCTGCTCCTTCGTACTATGTGTAGTTTAAACAGGTCGCCAATCCTCGAAGGGTTCCTTCCACGAGAAACCCACCTCCATCAAACTCTAATAATCTGTGGGGAAATGATCTAATTCTACAAATTTGGAGCAAAGCCCTACTCTCTAACCAGATTATCACTTGCATTACAAGTCGCCCGGACTGAGGCTTCTTTGAAAGCAAAGAGTTCACAGACATAAATTGGGAGACGGTAGTAGACAAGTGTGGGGATTGCTGTTTCTTGTCTCTTTAGGGTTGTTTTGGGGCTCGTTTACGTTTTGGGGCCGTTTAATAGCAGTCCAGGGAGAGGCATAGATTAGCGTTGTCATTGTTTGGCGGGTCTTGGGACCTATCACATCAGCGCGCATGACGGGAAGAACGCATCGCCTCTGCCAAACGCTCAAATTAACAAGTGCCACGTCTCATCCGAAGTGATGTCAATGGCATTTATGATATATAAATCAATTCCTCTAGGTAGCGTCCTTCTTCTTAAAGATATCAATCAACCTTCCTCAAATTCTTAAACAAAACTTCTGTATAACTAAAATGTGTAAAGAAACTATCTACCGATACGAGTGCTGGTCCCTGACCAATGACCCTGACCATACCGTATCGTGCAACGTACCTTGCGGCCATCCTTCGTGTCATGGTGCTACAGAGCCGGAATACCAGAGGGTGAAAGGAGAATGTGAGGAATGCTCCGGTTCATCGTTGTCCTTCTGGGGTCTTATTGGCAGGGAAATGGAGCGGGTTGCAAGGGAACGAGAAAAGGGGGAGGATAGTGCGGAGAAGGGCAATAAGTAATACTTCCTTCAGTTTGCGCTGTCGGTGCTGGGACAACTGGCGTTTATCTGCTCGGCAATATCCAAGCACACTGCCAAGGGTCAGCCAATATTCAAGGGGTTATTAGTTACACTAACATCGATGTATGCTTCTTGCCCCTAAAATCTTCAGTGCCGGGACATCTCTCTCAATCATTTTGTAGAACCAATTCCGTAGTTCTACCACAATCAACGAATCCACCCCCAAATCGGTCATATTCTGTTCCCTACTAACGGATCCACCTGGTAGCACTAGAAGAGTCTCTAGCTTCTCAACGAAGAAAGCAGATACCACATCTGCGATCTTTGGGGCCGATTCGAGGTTCGCAATCTGATCTTTTAGGCTTTGTTGCGCTTTCGTCGCTTCTGCAGAATCTTGAGTTCCATTATGTTTCGTGAAATGGCAGAATCTAGGGTCCATTTGCCAAAAGAGTAAGTCAGGGCTATCAGCTCGGTATCGGCTTAATCCTGTTGTTAAGTCTAGTGGCTGATCCGGTACATTGGGTCGTCCGGCAAGAATAGCTTCGTGAAACATGTGGTGAAGGTCGCGTTCGGAGATCGGTGGATACCCCTCCCTTTCTAGTCCCGCGTATAAATTCTGCTTCTCACGAAGTAGAAAACCAAGTCCGTAGATGACCCCGATATTTAGCACTGATCCTGCTACTCCGTGTGCTCGTCTATTTGCGGCGAGACCATTCATGTACATGTTCGCAGCAGCATAATTCGATTGCCCTGGATGACCACCTATCGCGGCAAAAGAAGAGGTCATGATAAAGAATTCCATCTCCGGGTCGCTGAATACACTGTCCAAATTTTTAGAGCCAATCGTCTTGGGATGTAACACTCGATTCCACGTTTTCAGTGTCATTTGTGCGAAAACTCGATCGTCTAGAACCATGGCACCATTCACGACTCCAGCAACTGGAGGCATGCTCTGAGATAGCTTAGCCTTGAAGCGTCTTACATTGACGATATCAGTGACATCGAGCTTCTCGATTGCAATTTCTACCCCATGCGTTGAGACGAGTTCGTCCTTCCATTTCGGGTGCATGTTTGGATTGCGACTAGCGAGGACAATGTGTTTTGCACCAAGGTCGATGAAGAATCGGCTGAGGCTTTGTCCCATATCGCGAGTGAGGCCGACTAGGATGTATGTTCGATCGGGTCGGAGCATTCGGTGCGAGACGAGCGGACTTACTATTCGAGATACCATACGTTCTGCCTTCCAGTCTATTATGGTAAAAAGCGGGAATGGATGACGAGTTTCGAGCAAAGACGGTACAGAAATAGTGTTTGTATGGAAGGACCGCGGGGCTGTATTGTCAAGGCCGTCTAAAGCAGCGGAAATAGCACCGACCCAAGAGAGCCGCGCGCTAGAAAAGCCTCCGTCGCCAATGTTGGTGTTTGAGTCGCTCAGTACAGGGGGTGGCAGGAACTGACAGGCTTCTGGAAAACAGTGTCGAATCTTCTGGGAGAAATCATCATTCTCGGGAAGGAACGAGACGACAAGGGCATTGAAGGATGATAGCAGGGCTTTAATTCTGGAGATTGGTGTTCTTGGGTGAATGCCGAGAGTTCGCACACCTAGGTTTGGCGCTTCATCATTCGCGCTAGTCCTGACAATGGATATCCGAGCCTCATAAATTTGTTGAATGGCGTGAAGGGTATACGTATCTGGTTCGATTAGAACAAGACTCCGCCCCCTAGCTTTCCGTGCTATGGTTGCGGCAATTGCAAATCTAGTGACACTGTTTAACAAATCCAGAGGCCTGGTTTCCGCTTTTAAACTATACACTCGGGTAGATGGCATGGAGATATATGACGAATTTGCTGCGGAGGGCGCAACGACAAGATTCCCTGTCGTCATATCATTTCCGATGCAGATGTAGGCAGCGTAGTTATCAGTTATTGGAACAAGATTTAGAGAACTATACGAAACCTGTATGGTGGAGATGTTGCCGTTAACATCCCTCGGTGGTAGATTCTCCAGGGCAGCAGTTTCCAAGGTCACTTGTTTCCCGTTCTGTTTGACGGTAAGAGCCGTGTTGGCTGAAGTCACTGAGTCGGACACTATTCGCCGAGATGAATTAACGCGACTATTTCCAGGTTCGAATGGCAGCACTCGTGATATCAAGCGACGTCCATCTTCCATGAAGATCTCCCTCTCAGAGATCCACGATCTACCATCTGGATGCCAGTGGGATACACCGTCATCGACGATCATTCCTAAGAACATTTCCGCAACGAGGAGAGAACTCCCCTCAGTCCTCTCCAAATCGAGGTTGCGGACCGTCAAATTAGGAATCTCGGCAGCAATGGTTCGTGTAAAGCCAAATGTAGCTGCATGATCCGGATTGCTGTATCTTGCACCAAGGGTCAACCACATAGCCTTCATTTTCGGTCGCATGAGGTCTTTCAGCTGGGTAATTCTCTCCTCGGTCATGTTTGACATGACGCTTTCGTCTAGATCCGCTGCGATTATGGTGGCCGTGCATTCGCCAATATCCTCAGCCTCGAGTGTATCAAAGGAGTCGCGGAGAGTAATAGTATGGCAGAATGAACCTAAGAGTTCTTGCAATTCATTCCCCAAGGAAGATGTGTATGCGCTCGTACCGCCGATGATCAGGAGATGTTCGACAATCTCACGACTTTCTTCTTCCAGGAGACGGTGTGGTATGGCTAACTGAGGATCTATTGCTTGTCTGACAAAGATAGAGAAGCCGGAGGGGAAGACTTGGTTGGAGTACCTAGCGACTTGGCCAAAATTGCAGTTCTCTAAAACGTCCGGCCACTCGGATGGCGTTGGGAGTTCGCTAGGAAAGGCGGTCGGTAATCCATGGAGTCGATCCGTGAGAACAATATTAGGTGAGTCGAGCAGAAGCAAGAAACCTCCAGTCTTCATGATCGACCTGATCTCTCTCATGATTTTTCCGGTTGATTTACTTTGCAGAATCGATGCCGAAAGAAGGACAAGGTCGAAGGACACGGCGGGCGGGGTTTGCTCGATCAAATCTTTGTTCAGATCCACATCCACCGTCGTAACATAACTTCGTCGCATGTTTAATTTGTCGATATCTCTCGGCGATGTCACTGAGGGGGTAAAGTTGGCAACCGTGAAACCTCCGAGGTGCAAGCGAGGGTTTCGTAAAATTTGCTTCGTGAGGCCCGACTCTGGATCAGACATATCGAGTACCTGTATTTGTGGATATTTGTGAGAGATCTGCTGGATGACTCTACCAACGTGCTCATTGAAGTGATGCATACTGTGCCCAGAGGCAATCACATGAGGCAACAACTCCAGAAGCAATTCTGAACGTGTTTTACCAACGGCACTAATTAATTCCAGAGAAGAAGAATAGTCGGAGTCGAACATGAGCGATTGAAGGGAATTCTCATCGTCGCTGGCCCATCCATCGTGGTGTAGGAAAATGAAAGGGGTACGTGCCACACTCGGAAGAGCAAGCTTGAATGGTATAGCTTTGTTATTCTTTCGGAGGATGAAATTTGTTACGCGAGCGCATTCTTCAATAAAGCTAGGGTCATAGCCAGAGTCTTCACCGTTATAGGATTGAACAATTTCGTCTTCAGGGTCGACATCAAGAACCGAATGGAGATAGAGCTCATGATCATCCTCTGGTCGTGTGTTTGCAAAAGCGGCGACTACTAATCCTTCCACTTGGATCTCGGTGTCACCTTGTTCGTTAGCAATGCCGATGTCGACTGTGATGATGGCTTTGGAGGTAAGTGAAGGGTTTCCGATGTGGGTGCAATATGAGTCGACCCGCAAGAGCTCATCAGTGATTGGCTTGGGTTGATTACAATATGCCAAGTTGAACGTCAGGCTTTGAATTGATACTGGAAGAAAAGGCGTCCACAAAGACCTATCAAGTGTTAGATTTATCGTGCACAACGACGGTGGAACTTACTTATCGCCGGCAAAGGCGTAAGATAGAAAGGCGGACTGAAAGCAACTATCCAATGTCGCGGGACTGACGGAAAGTTGGGTAGTATCTTCAGAGTGGTATCTCTTCAGTGTAGTAGCGGCATAGTTGAGGCGTCGGTCGATAGTCTGCAATGATCTGAAAGGCCCGCTGTAAACCAAACCAGTTTCGTCCATCATTCTATAGAAGGCTTTGGTATCAGCAGGTAACGTTTCGCTGTTCTCTGTCTGCCTCGGGGGTAGCAAGCCCAGCATTGGTTCGCCTAAAACCATTCTCATGTTCCCATGCATGTTCATTTTTGGTGTGGTGGTTCCATCCGCTGGACAAGAGGTCAAGGTAAAGGATGCTTCGATCTCGGGATCCGATGGGCGGTGGGGCATAATTTGTAAGGAGAACAGTATCTCAGTCCCTTGTGAGTTGGGCTCTAGATTAATACCACTTTCAATTGTTAGATTGAGAAGTTGAACACTCGTCGCAAATTGCTTCCCAGCTTTGAGATGTACACGAGCAGCATCCAAGGCCATTATGCAATAGGCGGATGCTGGAACAAGCGCCTGGCCTTGGAACTTATGGTGGTTTAGCCATGGTACTTTATCTACCTTCAGAATATTTCGCCAGCGGAGGTTATGTTCGTTGTCGTCGCGAGTGCGCACTCCTAAAAGCTCATGTGGAGGATCGCTGCGGGAATGGTATTGACGAGATATCCGGGTCTCTCGGTAATGGATCTGAGAGTGATCCCACGGGTATGACGGCATATCCGAGATCTTGCAACGTGATAGGTCATCTTTTGGTGAGCTTTGGATATACTTGGGAATGTTAATGGCGTGTGGCCCTGAGGTGCACCATATGGAGCCGATGGATTCCGCAAATGCAACGCTGTCGTCCTTGTTGCGGTCAAGAAAGCCAATGTAAGGAGGAACTGGGCTAATGGTTGGTTTCATAGTTTGTATGGAAGGCCCTTTCAGCGCCGGGTGCGGGCCAATCTCGACGACGCAGTCAAATGGCCCGTGTTTGGCAAGTGCGGATTCGAGTGCATCGCGAAACCGGACGGAGTTAGTCATATTATCCCTCCAGTACTCCATGGCTACGCTCTGATTCAACATTTCCCCATACCCCTCCACACTAGAAGACCATCGAACGTCACTCCGGCCGGGGAGAGATTTTATCCCACATCTTCGGAGGGCCTCAATATAAGCGGCTGCTGGTTTCGTCATATGCGGAGAATGATAGGCCGTGTCGACAAGCAATCTTCTCGCAAACTTTCCAGATTTCACAAGAGCAGAACTTGCTGCGTCTATCGACTCGGTATCACCCGATAGAGTCACGCTTGAAGGACTATTGTTTGCTGCAACAAACAGTTTTCCTTCAAATTGCGGAGCCTTACAGAATTCGTCGGCTTCATCACTCGACAGTCCTACTGCAAGCATAGCTCCTTTCTCGCTGTTCGTACCTTCAGCGAGATGAGCAACTTCGCCTCGATAATAAGAGATCAAGATTGCATCTTTCGCACTCAGCCTTCCAGCTGCATAAGCAGCACCAATTTCCCCCGAAGAATGACCAACCACGGAATGGAATAAAACTTCAAGACTTCGGAGTAGATCAACGAGCCCAATTTGCAAGGCAGTACACAGTGGCTGAGAGACGGCTGCTTCGTGAACACGTGACATGCCTTTCTCGGCAAATATCTGCTCTTCGAGAGACCATTGCGGGGGGTCTCTGCAAGCCTTCAGGATCTGATCCAATTTCCGAATTGATGATCGGTAGACTTCGTTTGACAAGAACAAAGTGCTTGACATCTTCGGCCATTGTGCACCTTGTCCGGTGAAAACAGCGAGGATGCGGGGCTGTCCTTGCACACCTGCAGCTCGGAAGCCAAGCTGGTCGGTACTGATACTGAGAACGTCATCTAAGGCCTTGATCATTCCCGGCGTTGTTGTTACCGGGAGAGAGAGTCTATACGGGAAACAAGTCCGAGATGAGAGCTTCAATGCAAGCCGGTTGCAGTTAATGTGAGAATTTTTCAGAATGAAGTCTTTTAACAACTCAATTGATGATCTTAAGGATCTCCGGGAGTTGGCCGACAGCAGAAGAGGTACCGGCCTCGAGGATTCCTTCTTTTTCGTCGGCGTGTCCGCTCGATCCTCCGAAATCGTGAGAATATGTTTCGCATGAATTTGGGAATCGAAGAGTTCCACGATCGCATGCGCGTTCGTTCCTCCAAACCCGAATGAATTCACACTAGCTCTAAGTGGCTGTCCGGTTGGTACTTGAGGCCATGATTCCAGCGTTGTGGGAATACGAAGATTCTTGGAGAACGGGCTGACGTTGGGGTTCAGGGTATGCATGTGCAGATTGGGTGGAACTTTTCCATGCTTCATCGCCTGAATAACCTTGAGCAGGCCGGCAAGCCCTGCCGCCCCTTCGGTGTGGCCAATAGCGGTTTTCACAGATCCAACAAGCAATTTGCCTGGCCCCTCAGGTTCCCGCGATCCTCCAAATGCCCGAGATTCAGTGGTTACATCGAATCCTTTCGCTACGCCCGAACCTTCGGGAGGCGAACTTGCGATGGGTTCAAAGAAAGCCTCATAAATTGCAGAAGCCTCACGTGGATCTCCAGCTTGGGTTCCTGTTCCATGTGCCTCAAAATACTGGCACCTGTCCGCTGCATTTCGCAAATCCAGTCCCGCACGAAGATACGTGTCTTTGATCAAGTTCGCCTGAGCTGCAGGGTTCGGCAAGGTGATGCCAGGGGTTCTTCCATCCGAATTCACCCCTGTTTGTCGAATGACAGCCTCAATCTCGTCGCCGTCGGCAAGCGCCCTGGACAACGGCTTAAGGAATATGGCCGCGACTCCTTCTCCGCGCGCATAACCGTCGGCACTGATATCCCACATGCGACATTTCCCTGTAGGACTGAGCATGTGTAGACTGGCTTCAACAATAAATTGCTCGGGAGTGAGAAGCAAATTGGCGCCCGTAACACAGGCCATTACACTCTCCCGAGACCGGAGGCTATGGACCGCCTGATGCAACGCGACGAGACTTGAGCTGCACGCCGTATCGATGGTCATAGACGGCCCTCGGAAGTTGAAAAAGTACGATACCCGGTTCGATATCAGAGATCTCGCGTTCCCTGTTGCATAATATTGGCTCGCAGTCAACTCATCTCGCCCGGAAAGGGTGTCGTAGTCGGCGGTCATGAGTCCAGCGAAAACCCCGACATTCTGCCCAAAGTATCGATCGAGTGTGTATCCAGCAGATTCTAAGGCTTCATACACAACTTCAAGTGTCATCCGCTGCTGAGGATCCAGTGCTTCGGCTTCTCGAGGTGTGATATTGAAAAACGCTGCATCAAACTCTCGGTGGTCCTGCTCCAGCCAATAGGCCTTGATCGAGTTCGTCGTTCCGTGATACTCTCCGTCTGGGTGATAGAAGGCATGAGGGTTGAAGCGCGTGGTCGGCACTTCTCGCGACAAGTCAGGAGGGGCCGATAACAGTTCCCAAAACTTGGAAGGTGAAGTGGCACCGCCGGCAAATCGGCAACTGCTCCCAACGACTGCAATCGGCTCTGATGGTGGAGGGACGAACATCTTGAAAGCACGATATGGAGAGTACTGCAAGAACAAACAAGCAGGCGGAAAGGGTGAGGCTTTTGTGCGCCTTACTCCAATGTTGGAACCTACCAGGAATCATGAGACAATTAGTACAGTGATATCGGGATCGAGGGGTCATGGCTTTAAGCTGCATAATGCCGCTCGCAAGTCTTCAAGACCTAACATGAGATCTTGACCAAATCCTCTCGCTGATTACATCGTGGATTCGTATGCGGTTGTTTGCCCATATTTAGGAGTCAACAAGCACTCCACGTGGAATGTCGAATTATGCCATCCACTCGGGTCCCGGCTAAATTCAGCTTCAAGGAATAAAGAACGCCACCAATATAGGACTGCGTCTCAGCCCTAATTCTTATCGAGTGTTATCGGCCAAAAACATGCAGCGGTTGAGATCGCAAGGGTACATACCAATAGCGAGGTCCCACTACCGAGACTAGGGACTTGCATGCCTCTCTGACCAGGAAGCCGGAACGGGAAAAGGAAAGCAGAAGGCTATCCCACCGTCATCTATAAGAACCACTGCTCAAAAGAGAATCACATCCTCGGATGATTTCCTCTTTCATGCTGCGCGTGGCCCCATGTGAGTGCTAGGAAATCTGGACCGTCCCGTTCCGAGGCCCTAAAGCCAATCGAAAATCTCACAGGCTGGAATCATTGGATGAAAGCAGGAATTCTGCAGGAACTATCTCGCGTGATTGCTTACGCTTTTTTTAGGATTACCCAATAGCCTTCGCCACCGTCATTGCTGTCCGTATGTAAACGAGAACGAGGTAACTGCATTGCACTTTGAAGCATACATCTCAGCACATGAATCTTATCTGCACAAGATTTATCACACGCCCCGGAGAAAATCCTCTTGGTATTTAGGGACTCATAAACAACCCAGTGTTCAAATCCTCTACCTTATGTGGAGAGAATTTGCCAGGTAGCGTTAATTACACAGCGCTGAAGTTTAGAGGTTGGCCAAACGCGATGTTCACAGTAAATCGCCACAGCTATCTTCGGCTGATCCCACTTCTGAATCACTCCATTATTCTCAGCTGCTTACTCAAACTCCGGTGGACATGTGGGGCTGATGATTGTCATCCTCAACTGACTTTTCCTCCATTTGCCTGACGTTTCCACATTTCTTCATGTGGTCTCACTCAAGGATGTGGTGTTCGCAGGATCGTTGTTAAGATGGATTTCGAATCTCATGATGTTTAATAGAACGTAACCGTTACTGTCAGTGGTGTTTTTAGTGCGCTACTGGTGGCAACAGAGTTCGTTCTTTCAGATAGAGTGAATTTAAACGGCCATGCAGGCAGTAACAGTAACTGCTAAGTTAACTAAGGGTGGAGTAGCTACTGTTTAGTATAGTTACTGCAGTAACTACTATTTCTAAAGGCTCTAGAGAGCTTAATTCTGACACAATCTTGCTAATATAGTCACAGATATTAGTCTAACTCTAAGCAAACAAGTCTACTAAAGCCCTAATTATAGATAGAAATAACTAGTTATAATTATTAATTGTCCTTCTAGCTTTGCTAAAGCGCTAAGATATTAAACAGTATGGGCAGTTACTGCAGTAACTAGAGCCTTATTAACTATACGGTAATGGAAGACAATTCGCTTTTGTTCTAACTGCTAAGAGATTGATGCTATCAGTAACAGTAGCAACAGAACTAAGTTCTATTAAACACCATGATTTCGATTGTGGCAAGAATTGGAGAAGAATTTGGAAGTAGGAAGAGGAAACTTTAGCGTGTTAGCGGAGAAATTCGTGGATCCTCTTTTCTCGAAGAAGAAGGCATCGACCATGGCTAGACCCTAAGTAAAAGTCCTCTGCCATTCCACCAAGTGCTTACCATACTTATAAACGCACTCTTCTACATTGTTGCCTCGCTAATGTCTTATTCAGCTCATTAGACTGATGAGAACCCTAAAGCGGGCGACGCGAACACCTCACCAGGATCTGGATCATGAGGGCTTGAGTCAACACGTGGGATATGTTCAAGCACGCGCGACTTCTTACAGTCAGAGCTTTCCTCGACAATCAAACAATGATAGTAGTTCTTGTGAAGTAAGGTCTTGTATTCCTAGCTAATCTCACCCAGACAATCGCAATCCAGACACAGAATCCAACATGAACATTCAATGTATACGGCTCTCCAACAGTCACTTCTTAACAGCGAGGACTCAGTATAAATTCAGTTGCCACGTTTTCCTTTTCCTACTCAGACCTCCAATCAACAAGAAGTAAATCTCCAATTCATTCATTCAAGAAATCCTTGCTATATATTACAATCTTGGGCTACCTGGTTACCAACTCAATCTTTTTCTGCTAGGATGCCTGCCCTAATAAAAATCACACTGGAGTGGTAAATTGAGCTCACAACCCACAACCCACCCCTCTCTTCTATTGGCCCCAAAAGTGAACTGGGCACCCCCCGAGGTATATGGAGGATCTCTGTCCTGCCTGGCAGAAGAAATATCCTACGAGCGATGGACATCAAGGGAAAATTCATTGAGCAGGTGTCGGAGAAGATATTATGCAACATTAAAGTCACACCTTTTATCTTAACCAGAATTACATTTCTAAGCTTTCAAGTAGTTTTGATAATTGAAGTCCTTTAAATCTTTTACTACGACATCCCGCGCCTAATTGAGGACATTCCGTGTGAGAACTACGTTGGCATTTCACAACATAGGTGGGTAGAGATATCACATTCCGGTTGTCTCAAACATGCATCCTCCGGAATTGCATTGCTTCTTTAAGATAAGTGTGGGTAAATACACAAACCTCAAAGAAATCCGCGAAACCCATTCTTCATTGAGAGAAGACGAGAAGACACCGAGAATGCACGAAAACATAAGCTTAGAGAACCCAGTCGAGGTATCGCGTTCCTGAAATCTTTTATGAGGCGTTCTTCTTAGAAAACCGCACAGCCAATTCACTGCACGCGATGCCGAGTAGAAACGTGTATTTGAGACATGTCCCAGGGCCCTCGGTGTGAATGCCTGACAAGACACGACAATGTACAACGAGCTTCTGGAAAGCGTAGGTTCAATACAAATACAAGGACTGAACTTTCTTCCTTCATTAAAAGCTTTAAAGCACCTTGTCTACAGAACACCATCAATACATTCCTCCAACTGTCTATCAACAATTATCGACATTCCCTCAACTACTTTACCAACCCACTCTGTTCCTCACAACATGTGCAGGAAGATCGAAATAGTTTACGCCTACTGCCCAGATGCATGTAGAATATTCATCACGTATATATATTGCATACAGAATCCGTACAAGAACGACCCACATTTATGTCCTCTGTACATAGTTGAACCTGGGGAATGGAAACCGGAGTTCTGCCCCGATTGCCGCTAGGGTTGACACGCAACTGTAGAGGCGGTTCTAATGCGAATGATTATGTAGCAAGTGGAAAGAATAGGCTTGGGCCCCTTCCACTCATTTGCGTCTGGGACAACTTTCTAATCTAAATATTCATCTTCACTCTTAAACCTCTCGTTCTAGTTCTTGATATAAAAGCTTCAAATTGTCTCATAGTCTGCGATGTAAATGTTGGATGCTATCTAGAGGTGGGAGAATAATTGTTTGCATTTGCGGAGCTCTCCGAGCTTCACTACTTGCTCACATTCAGGAGTTACTGCTGCCTGCTATAGTAATATGTTACCTACCCTGCTGCCTAGCTCAGTCTTTACATATATAGACCCTTAGGTACCCTCGTTTAGTAATCAATCTGATTCCTCATGCCTCTGGTGCTCCCACAAGCTTCACAATAATTCTGAACTTCAATTTTTTGAAAAGCGAAATTTGTTCCTAAAATTAGTGATCGCAGTTACAGCATTGTAGTGAGTGTTTAGAGACATAGGTAGAGCAGATGAAAAGCAAGTACGTTCTACCGGTGTGGGAATCGCTGTGAAACGAGATGTGTATCCAGAATCTGAAGAAGAATGTAAACAATCACGTCCAGTGTCCGCCTTGAGCAATTGAGACCCCTTAAATCGGAAGAGAGTAAGCAGACAGTTTGATTTACCAAGATATATACAGCCATTCTAATACATGACATACGAAATCCTATAGCTAGAGATGTGAAAAGCTTATCGTTAGCCACATACTAAAAGTTACGGCCTGATTCTTCAACACAACTCCGTTCTTACCGTAAAAATACCCCTTATATATTTGGCCCTGCTTCAATCCCTACCACCATACCCACCGCCATGTCTACTGATGCAAACACCCTCATATTATGCCCATGGTCGACTCCTGTGATACAAGGGAGAGGTGGATCATGTTTGACGTGTGATCCGAATCTGACCCTATCCATCATCTGAGCAGAAGCTGTCTAGGTGGTTTGTGGTGGCATGAAGGATTCTATATTGAATAACCGTCAGGTACTCTTGAAATATGTGCTAGCAGTCGCTATATGGGGTCCCCAAGTGTCTTAAGCCTGATTCTCTTGCATGAGCTGAGGAGGGGACATATGGCAAACGACTCGACAAGGGAGCGAGATCCAAACAAGGTGGAATGAGTGTATTGTAAGGTCTGAGGAGCTCGATAGAGCTCTGAGCTGACTATATACTGTACGAGATAGGAGCTATGCCTAATGAGTGAATAGTGCAGTGCATGGGTATGATATCGCGTGAGACACGTGCGACACACCCCCCTAGCTTTGACGAAGTGAATACTGAAGCAAAGCTGTACAAAGAGAAATAATAGACTGCAGGTGTACAGTAGTGCACTTAAGAGTGCGAAACAGCAAAAAAAGAAGTTAGTAGGCTTAGGCTTTAAAGCTAATGTTAGTAGAGTAAGCCTTTAGGGCGTCACTTAGGCGGACAAGGCCTAGTTGTTTAATAAATGCTTAATGCTTTTGTTAAGGTAGAAACTTAGTAAGGCCGTTAGGCGGCATGTCTGCAGTAGGGATCTAGTGTATGCAAATCCTTCTTTCCTAAGGCTCATAATTAATTAGAGCTGTGTGCTAAGTAGTTATAGCTTGCTTAAGATTATTATTATTAGTCTTAAAGTCTATAGCTGCGTCGCCTGTTCGCGGACAGACCTTAATAACTAATAGTGGCTTGTTGTTAGAGCTATTATCTAGCGTGTTGCTAGGGTTATGTTAGGAGACTAAGTTAATATTAGTTTCCCTTTTAGAGTTAACCTCTAGGACAGTTTCTAGGGTTATTTTAGGAGAGGGCATATAATAGAGGGAGCCTTGCTGGCGCTTTTCCTGCAGCTAATTGCTAGGTCCCACATCGCGCTCCTTAAGCTCTAGAAGCTCTTCTGTAAAATTAATGTAATCCTTATTGTTTAAGGTATTATCTTACGCAATAAGTTGCTGTGCAAGGTCTTTAGCAGCTATAACTATTAGCAAAATAGATCTAATGCATAGATCCTCTGTGCGTGATACTAGGGCCTAGTGACCCTTAGTTTAAGTAGTAAAGCAGATTAGTGATTAAGTGCCATTATAAAGTTATTTATATATAAGGTTGTCTCTAGAGTTAAAATGTATGTCCTGTCCTTAAGAAAGAGATATAAGACTAGTAAACATGCTAGGGATGTAGGCTACATTATTTAGGTTTATCTTAGTAGGTCCTCTAGGACCCTTTACAGTAAGTGTGACCGTGCCCTATGCCAGTATAGGAAGGTGTTAGCTGCCAGCCCTAAGTTAGTCTAATAGGGATAAGCTCTAAGTCTATTAAAAGTTAGCTAGATTATTGTAAACATAGATGTCTGCTCTAGGATCTAAGATCTATAAGTGCTAGAGAGGATTCTCTTTGTTATCTGGCTCCACAGCATGTTCCTTACTCACAAGGTTTGTTATAAAGCTTATAAGAGTAGCTGCTAATTGCCTAGTGCTAGTTAGAGCATTAGGTAGATTCTAGTTAGTAGAATTATTAGGAGCTAGCGTCTTAGAGATTGCATTTAGATGTAGACTAGGTTAAGACTGTAGGCTTTAATTATACAATTAAGTTGCGTAACTAGACAATTAAGTTAGCTAATAATAGTTGCTATTGTTGCCGCCTCTTCTGCGTCCTCTTCCTTAGTTTAGTTAGTTTCTTAGTAGTAGAGGAAGGTCTCTGTTCTTAAGCCGCTTAGCTTCTGCTTTAAGCTAAGGATTGCTGCTTATCTGCTTGTTGTATTCCTGCTAAAGAAAAGTAGAGATCTAGAACCCTTTAGGTCTTAGTTAAGGATTGTTAATTTTGCAGTTTTTAGATTTATAGCGACCTTCACAGAAGTCGCATATAAACTGCTGTTGCTGCTGTTCTGGTGTGGACAAACGTCCTTAGTATGTGGCGAAACTGCTGTGGGTGACGCTAGGTTGCTAAGCTAGCTGTGATTATTGCTAATTTTTAAAGAACTCTAGACAGCTAGTAAGGAAATTAGGTAGATCCTTATTAGTCTGTTTATGCTAGACTAGGATTAATTAGATAGCTGCTGCGCATCTAGGGTTTATGTCTAAAATTGCCAACACAAAGTTATAGTGTAGTTAATATTCTGTCACATTTAGCAGGTAGACTAATTTAGCATTAATATATGCGTTCCTGTATGCTGTAATCTATTAGTCCTATTTTATTTTTAATAACTACTTCCTTGCGCAGTTGTATGCTGTTTGTGCGCTCTGCTTAAGCTGCTTGTTAGAGGGCTCTAGGATTGCCCTTAAGGCCTTTAGCCTTTTATAGATTGTTTCTTTGTCCCTAATAATAGGGTAGTTTAATGTGTTAACAGTGCTCTTAATAAGCACATAGATGTCTAATAGGGCTTTGTGTTAAGCTTAGAATAACCTTAGATTATTACAGTAGTCTTTACAGGCTATTATGTAGCATCGCTGATTGTTAAGGTTTAGGTCAGAGACTATAGGGTTGGGACTGAGCTGGGTGCTGCCTGTATGAAACTTCGCGACCTCAGGCCTCTGTGGCATAGTGTTAACCAGGAGATTTTCTAGTAAGAGGTCTAGATTAATATACTCCCAGACATATTCTCTAGTTGCCTGTGTCTTGATGCGACTAAACTAGGGCTGCCAGTCGCTCTTTTTGGTAAGCTGTACAGAGGCATTAATGTTTAAAGTCATCTTTCTGTGTGTTGATAGAGTAGGACGAAATAGTTATTGTTTAGTTAATTAGGCTCAGCTAGTGAGCAATCTGTGATTAGTATGTTTTAGAATAGACAGAAGGTTATTGTCTAGTTGATTAGGCTCAGCTAGTGAGCAATCTGTGATCAATTTGTTTTGGAATAGACAGAAGGTTATCGTCCAGTCGATCAGGCTTAAGTGGTGAGCAATCTGTGATCGAAATGTTTTAGAATGGACAGAGGGTTATTGTCCTGTCGATCAGGCTCAGGTGGTGAGCAATCTGTGATTGATATGTTTTAGAATGGACAGAAGGTTATTGTCCGGTTGATTAGGCTCAGCTGGTGAGCAATCTGTGATCAATTTGTTTTAAATGGACGGAGGGTTATCGTCCAGTTAATTAGGCTCAAGTGGTGAGCAATCTGTGATTAATATGTGTAGAATAGACAGAAGGTTATCGTCTAGTTAATTAGGCTTAAGTAGTGAGCAATCTGTAATTAATATGTGTCAAGGTTCGCGGGGCCCTAAAGCTAGATGCAAAAGCTAACTGTGCAGTGGTGACTAGAGGACTAGTCAGGAGCGCGACTCCGGGCTCATAACTCTTGCATGAGCTGAGGAGGGGACATATGGCAAACGACTCGACAAGGGAGCGAGATCCAAACAAGGTGGAATGAGTGTATTGTAAGGTCTGAGGAGCTCGATAGAGCTCTGAGCTGACTATATACTGTACGAGATAGGAGCTATGCCTAATGAGTGAATAGTGCAGTGCATGGGTATGATATCGCGTGAGACACGTGCGACAGATTCATGGCTTCTGAGGGACTGTGCCAGTGGTTGAAGTTACGAGTTTCGTCAAATGAAGAGGGTATAATTAGGCTAAGCCACTATCTACTAGTGCCTGTAACCCCCTGTATATCATGGCTGCCCTAGGCGCTCCACATCAATACAACACTCTGCCGCTGGACTGCCATCCACTGCATCCAGGCTTACAGAGAGTAAACTTGAACGCTAAAGTTATCGTGTTTCTATTATACTTCATCACGAATTGATACACGGTCTTCAAACCCTGACCTCGCTCTCTGCTCTTGATAAGTATCCCCTTGTATTCCTCATAGTCCTTCTCTAGAATCTCCAAAAGGCTTTCCAAAAGCAATAATATCTCGAAGTTAGTCTATGCTTAACGCACAGTGTCAACACTAAGCTGACATTGTCCACAGTGCCAAGCCCCCACACACTCAATTATTATCAGCCTCTCCACGATTCGTTCCGTCGAAAGGAAGCTCTTTGTTGTTGCCCAGATTGCCTATAAATTTGGTCCGGCTAGAATCCCACTTTGGGTTGCGCTACAGATCTCGCGCGAATAAGCGACCAATTGGAGTTTCTGAACTCTGGCTTGCAGTATTAGCCTCGAGAATGCTAATTCCCAAAAAAGTGCTTGCATGGAATATTCGAAGCTTCAGTGTTGTGATTGCGGTTGACACGGCCCATATAAATGATAGCTAACTGATGAGTGCAGTAGGTAGAGTTAAAGCCTTGAATCATACTCTGACTGGAGAGGGGGCTCAGACTAGGAGTACTAAGAGATCACGGACTTGTGCATTACCTCAGCAATGAGAGCGCAAACATGTGTACACTTAGAGAGTGTCTTTGTAAAGACTAGTGTTGAGGCTAGTGAGGGATCTGAGGTATATGCAGGTGTCTGGATGCAATACCGGAGGGAATAACATTTCTCACTTGTATACTGTTCAAGCAGCTCTGGTAGCCTATTGGGAGTCCCCACCCTATATACATATATGCATGCTAACGTTATCCTAATACCTCCCTTTGCACTCTCCAATCTAAGCACTTCTCTGTACTCTCTTCAATAACCTTATTCATCTTAAGAAATTCAGGCACCTATATCACCTCCTATAAATCCCCCTTGCAACTCTCAATCCTTGTTACACGATGCGCTGGGATCTCGTGCTAGGGATAAGCTTGTCTATTAAGCAACGAATGTCTTGAGTTCTCGGGAGGTGTATCCGCGGCGATGGCCTGGGGAGCCGTAGCCACGGAAGTAGTGGGAGAAGCGGAGGTTACACATTTTTGGAAGGCTTGTTGGGGTGTCGGGGAATTGAGCTGGTAGGTGTCGATTGTCGTGATTAGTTAGGTTCACAAGGTTGATAGCTTGCTCGTGTTCTTGAAAGTCGATTGCTAGTGGTGAAAGTATTTGTGTCTTGGGCTTTGACTGTGGGGGAGATTGGCAAAAGTACGCGGAAATGGAGGCAGCAACGAAGGATAACGCGGTGGTGCATCATTGTGTGAAGAGCAGACTTGAAGACCACAAACACTAGCACTGCTAAGCATGATGAAAGCTGTTGACTGTGCAAAATCTAAGAGCAAATTGAGGAACTACCCTACGTATATGTCCGAATGCGATGCCGGAACGCCTAACAAGGCAAATGAAATCTAGATGGTGTATCGATATCTAGAAAGCAGAAGCCAAAAATAGAGGCCAACAAAGCCGAGATTCTAAAATGCAAATATACGGATACAGACAAGGTAAGAATATATGCCCAAGATAGCACTAAAAAGAGAAAATGGCTTGCTATATGCCTTTACTTAGTGAGGATTGGTCCCGCGTGCTTCGCTTTCTCGGCGGCTACGTCTGCGAGCTTTCGGAGCTTCTCGGCTCGCATTTGGCGGACATATCTGAATAGTAGGATGAACATCAACTCCATTCTGCGCGAAGCGTTAGCAGGGTAGGGATAACTGCTAGGAAGAGCAACATACCTCTCCTTAGTCATCATCAGGAAGCCTTGAACAAGGAGGCCTTTCATGATCTGAGGGCCAATGCCTTTGAATAGAGCCAGGGGCCCCTCGTGCTCTATAATGTACCTCATGACTTCGCCAAAAGTCTTGAAGGGCTTGCCGTTCCGTGCTGGCGGCGGTTTGGATTGGAGACCAACTTTAGCAACAATAAGCGGCTGGGTTGCAATGGTTGCGAGGGCTTTCGACATGGATCCGAGGACTATAAGGTTGTTAGAATGGCTATTCTAAGCCATATCAGAGCAGTTGACACTTACTAAACGCCTCCCACGGTCGCAGTGTCTTCTTGCCGGGGAATATGCCTTCTCTCAGACGCTGATATGCTCCGTACGTGATAGCTGGGTTTACAACTAGCACCAAGCTAGCCTTCAATCCCCTCCAGAGTCCGGTCCAGCCATCATCGCTATCTATAACCTCTTTCCCGGTCGCGATTAAACCCTTCCGTTCATGTTTGCTGACTGTCTGTTGGCGGGTTGTGACTACTGCGACGGGAATCGTAAACAGCTGCGCGATCGCCCCAGCAACGGCTCCTAGCGACAACTCAATGGCGGTGCTCGGGGCTGTTGAGGTCTTCCGGTACGACAAGTACAGCGTGCGGACGATGGTATACCAGTAAAAGTAGGCGAAGTTTGTGGATGCGACACCGATCAGCGAGCCTGGCATGCCCGCGTACAACCCAGGGATGCCCTCTGCTTTGATTATTTTTGAGATGGCGTCCATGGCGGAGGTGTAATGCTCGCCATCGGCTGGACTGGGGCTGGCGGAGGAGCGAGAGTGCTTGACCTGGACTTGGAGACGAGTTTTGACTCTACAGAGCCCATTAGCATGCCGGAAAAGAATTATAACGGGAGGGTTGCCGGAAGCTGCACACTCACATGTCTAACGGATACACCAGCGCATTCGCGATGACGGCGCCCGCTGAGCCTGCGATAGCATTACCCCATGGCGGTAGTGCTTCCACCTTCGATTGGCCAGCCATTGTTTATGTTGTCGTTGACAGGGAAGCTGCGAGCAAGAACGAGGGAGGTGCGATGGGCGATTTAGCAGGAGCAGATGACGGAAGCGGCTGTGGGGTATCTGGATAGATTGCGCTGCACGACTGCTATCTCATGGCCGGGTGAACTCAGAGCACAGAGAAAGTCGACACAGAATGACGCTCGGAGCGAGAAGACAAGTGAAGAGGCGGAGAAATGGGCTGGGAAGTGTTGACAATGTTTCCCCAGCCCGGATGGTGTCCATATTCCCACATGGCTGACGAGACCCGAAAAAGGCCGAGGTTGAAAGGGCAGCTTCTGCCAAGACGTTGCAAACAGCCATTTGCTCAGTGGCTTCTCGTGTCTCCTGGGCTGTCTTCAACCATCATCGAAAGATTGTGGTGAGCCTTCGCACTCACGCCGCTACATGCCCCTTGAGCTTCCATTTCGCCGGGATCAAGCGGCGACGATTTCACCAGGCGAGAGAGTCGACAGCAGCTTCCTTTTCATGGAGTCACGTGTCTCGGCGCTACCGGCTTTACGTGGGGACCAGTGGAGCACAAGGGTTTCAGCCTCAACACCACAGAATCCATTACGAAAACAAGCTGCGCCTTTACCTCCACACACCTGCGTAATCTGTCCTCCATGCCTCCTGATCAGTAGAAACATTGTCAAGTATCACAATAGCACGCCGATCGCCTCATGCTCCTCGCTCCTCCTTCACTATGGCTGAGCAGAGGAAGCAGCTCGAAGCGTTCAAAGCTGCCTCATCCGTACGTGAGATTGACCACAACAGCTTACTATTGCGCCTTTCATGCACGCGGGCAGGCTTGACTTACCGTATCTACAGAAATACCAATCTCAGCTTCGCGAGGCGGCTTCCAAGGATGAGGCCATCGCCCTTGCTATCAGTTCCGCCGAGAACCTAATGAAGGCTTTGAAGATCTGCTCCGACCCCTCTGAAAAAGGGGAACTCCGCGCACAGGTCAACGTGATTATTGACGCTGCAGATCGCATCAAGAAGACCGAGCAGTGGAAGCCGCTCTCTCATCAACGCTCGGCCCACGCCCATGCAACCTCGAAAGACGATGAGATTAATCTGTGGGCTGCCGCCGTCGCAGAGTCGACAAAGCCTGGAATCCCCAATGGAAAACTAGGTTCTGATGTCCCCCATAATTCCGCACCTACCTCCTCGGTTTCCCTCGTTGATCCTTCAGACAACAGCGCTCCTTCCCCACTTGCCCCAATGCTAAAGACACCGGGCACTTCTGCTATCTCTGACATTCCATTTCCCCCAATGGATGCTGAGTGCACTGTCTCCCATGGCCCCAATGTTGCAAAGGAGGTCAGGAAAGACGTTTTTGGCGCACTCATTGACTTGCATCAACACCAGCCTCCGCGGCAGCCAGCCAGCGTTGCCCAAGCGTACCCGAACGCCATAACCAACACATCGTCTAGCTCTCAAACTATTGTTGCAAACGTTTCTCCTGTTGAATCACATTCAGTGACTCCTAAAGTCCTGTCATCTCTCAAGTCTACGTCTGTTGGTGATCTTCATCAAGCCCACCGGACAGTCAACGGAAATCCGACCGTAGCGGCATCAACTGCGCGTTCCCGCACGCAAGTCAGGAGATTGAAAGAGCCCATTTCTACTCGAAAGCTGGCACGGAAGGAGGAAATCCTTCTTCTACGATCTTCCGTTGTCAATGGGTTCAAATTTTGGCCCTGGGACAAGAACCCGGCGACTTCAGAATTCGTTCTGGAACCCGGGGCCGACTTCTTCACGTAAAACCCCTACTGTGGTTTTTTTTTTTTTGGGAATAGGGTTTACTCACAACTATAGTGACTCACCTGATTTGGACCTTTCTCCTTACCAGCATCAGTTTTTTGCTGGCTGGGTGCGAGCCAGAGGAGCCCTCCCCCCCCCTTCAATGTACCCAGTCGATCGAGATGGCCTTGGTCCTGTAATGGGCACCACGCGCGCTATCGACCTTGTTCAAGATGCAGCTACTGACTGTTCTGTGGTTGCCAGTCTGTGCGCAGGCATTGCACGATCTGAGCGTGGGCATGACATGGTATGTGGGTTCAATGAGACTCGTGTTCAAGCTGATATAACTAGATGCTTTCTAACACGGTATGGCCGTTTGACCAAAACCGTGGGAGGCCTGTCATATCTTCGAACGGGAAGTACATGGTGCGCCTCAATTTCAATGGCTGTTGGCGGAAGGTCGTGATCGACGATCGACTGCCTGTATCTAAATCTCATAGGTTACTGCACGTCATTGATAGGCACAATCCTGCGCTGCTCTGGCCAGCGCTTCTTGAGAAAGCCTATCTGAAAGTACGAGGGGGTTATGATTTTCCCGGGAGCAATTCATGTAGCGATCTCTGGACATTGACAGGCTGGATCCCCGAGCAGATATACTTGCAAGAGTAAGTCGCTTAGCCACTGATCCGGAGCACACTAACCGAATCCTAGAACGGATACGGTTCCGAGCCAGCTTTGGACTCGGCTGTACAAAGCATTTCTCTATGGAGATGTCCTTGTGACCCTGGGAACTGGTAAGATGTCTAATCGGCAGGAGCGCGAATTGGGCCTTGAAGGACAGCACAGCTATGTCGTGTTGGACATGCGGGAAACAGATCACGACAGGCTTCTGCTAGTGAAGAACCCATGGGTTGAAGGCAAAGGTTGGCGTGGGCCCCGTCCTCCCGCGGCTCCAGTTGCCGACATATCTTCATTGAGTGAATACTCCGCTACTGGAACAGATGCTCTACATAAGGACAGTATACCATCGAAAGAACGGCCGCATCCCACGACATTTTGGATAGGACTCGACCATGTTATTCAATATTTCGAAAGCCTTTATGTCAACTGGAATCCTGGTCTCTTCCGCTACCGACAAGACATCCATTTTGAATGGGTGATTGAGAATCAAAAGTCCCCTGCCGGTTGTATTATCACTCATCCACAGTTTTCCTTCTCCTCGAAAGAAGGAGGCGTAGTCTGGTTTCTTTTATGCCGCCACTTTCGTGACACGCCCGGAGAGATGCACGAGTCTTCCGATGCCTTCAACGATGGCACTCTCCAACCGCATTCACACATGTCCTCCGCCGGGAGTCCGCCGAAGGGCTATATGAGTGTATCTGTGTGCGACGGGCACGGCGAGCGCATTTACATCAAGGATGCCTGCTTAGAGAGTAGCCCATACGTCAATGTTTCTCAAAGCCTCCTGCGGTGGGATTGCGATGCGGACTCGACATACACGGTTGTTATTGACCAAGACGAGCTACCAGCGTCCACGTACATATTCTCGCTATCAGCCTTTTCTAACGGAACAATTAATCTCGAGCCGGCTACTTCGAAATATGCCCATACGAAGATTCATTCGGATCAATGGAGGCCACAGACTGCGGGCGGAAGCACGAGCTCGCCGAGATACTTTGAGAACCCTCAGTACACGCTTGAGGTGAAGGAGAGGTGCGCATTGGCGATCCTGCTCACAAGTGTAGATCATCAGCACCCACTCCACGTGAAGCTTGTGTATGGATATGGAAAGAGGATGTATAGGCTCCAAAGTCGAGATGTTCTCATAGACTCCGGAGATCACCGGGGTGGAAGCGCTTTTGCAGAGATTCAAGGCCTCCAGCCGGGAATCTACACTATAATCTGTTCCCTGTTTGAAGCCGGCAAGACGGGGGACTACGCACTGAGAGTCGACAGTACTTCGGAAATTGTGCTCGAGCAAATTCCACGAGACTGCGCGGGTCTGATTCTGATGAAACTCAAGCCCGTTTGTTTCGGCCCTGACGTCCACAAGATGGCAGCTCCAGTCATCCCATCTCGCCTGGCATCCTACATCGTGATCGCTCGGTTCGTCCGAGCAAAGAGCCCTCGATCTCATGATTTGGGCATGCTTGGCCGCAGCCCACTACGGCTTAGTATAGAACTAGGCAGGGGACCGGAACGGAAATTCCTCATCGCTAGTGAAGGAGGGGAGTACGCTGACTCTGCAACTGTTCGTTCCGAGAGCGTTACTCTGGAACCGGCCCTGGCCAGTCAAGGGGGTTTGTGGCTGGTGCTGGATCGATTGTGTGGCCCTGGTAGCCCAGTTGAAGAGTGGTATGAGGTGGAGATATTCACGGACATCCCCAAGCCTTGCACTGTAGGTGTTTGGCGCGGATGGGATGATTGAGATAGTAGCCGCAGCAATGGATGCCACCCCTTGACATGCTGCACCTTCAGGATGCATGACTTTGGGATGCTAGGCATTGGGGTGCAAACCAGGCGCGCGGCTACGAACACGTTGCCCACGCCTTCTAGACATCCTCCTCGCCGCACCAGGCGGGAAGAGATGACAATTGTAGGGATAGACAAAAGTAATAGGGGATATGTGGCAATGGCTTTTGGGGGGGGAGCGGGGACGAGATCCGGCGACACTGGGGTTACATTAAGCTGACTGATGTCATCACATGGAGGTGGCAGAGACGTTATCTCGCATCACGCGGGGTGGTCAAGCGAAAGTCGATAGCCAAGGAACATGTCGCAGCTGCAGGTCAAAAATGTTGGAGTTGAGTTCAGTGGCGCCTAGACGAAAGTGCATGCAATGGTCTCCAGCCCTGACAGTTCGTGTCGCAATGATTGGATGCAGTTTCACCGCCCGCAACCATCCCTACAGTGTTTCAAGCGTGCAGGACGAGATATCAACCGCGATATCTAAAGTCGACTTTCCGAAGAGACGAGCGACATTGTGCAGCATTTCTCCCCTTGGTGCTCGAGGTTGTTTCTTGCTCCCTTTGTGCCTTGCATCCACCCCACCAGAACACGATAAGACTATCGGCTGGAATATACGTCAGAGCTTTCGGACGTGCCAAGCGCCGAACGGCAGCTTGAACCTGCACCAAGGCCGCCTTCGAGCTGTCACGATTCTGTCTGCAGCGTCCATACGCGAAGACTAGTAACCGCATAGCTAGTATATCCGTTGACTTGACCACCTCGATGGCGGAGAGCGCTGTATCTCCCGCTGTGGCCGCCATGAGCACTTCACCGTCTGTTTCGGCCTCCACCTCGAAGGAGCCTTCGAGGGCCCCTACGCCCGCAAATGCGCCGGTCGAGAAGCCCCCGGACGAGAGCTCCAAGCTAAAGGTGTTCCTGGGAGTCCTGAGAAGGTAACGTAGCACCACGGCGACCCTGTCCACCTGTCCAATGCAGTCTGCAGGCCCTGCGGAACGTTGAGCATGGTCGAATGCAGGTGGCTAACTGTTCTACCTCGTTGCATAGGTTTATTGGCGTTGCGGACCTCGCTGCTGTCCGATTCTCTCTCCCCGCACAGCTCCTCGAGCCCACTCCCAATCTAGGTATGTATTTCCCCTCTCCCGGCGTCCCTGCGCTATTTTTGAGCAAGCCTTAACAGATGGCAGAATACTGGCACTACCTCGACAGGCCCGAGACATTTATCAGGTTCGCACTCCGCTGGTCGGATATGGCCAGACTCAGTGGGCGCTGACGGGAGTAGCATCGGCGACTCAGACGAGTCCCTGGGCCGCATGCTGGGGACGTTGAGGTTCTGGTTCTCCAAGGATCTGGTAGGCATGACTGGCGCCAGTCTTCCTACGCGCCGCTGCTGACGATAGTAGAAATACGTCAAGGGCAAGCCGTGCAAGCCCTACAACTCTACCCTCGGGGAGTTCTTCCGCGTACGTCCATCCCTCCAACAAAATGTGCACACCCTGATCAGCGCAGTGTAATTGGCAAGTCGAAGACACCCAGCCCCCCCTCAAACATGCCCCGAATTCGGCGCCCTCCAGCAGCTCCGCCAGCGCGACCGGCGAGAAGTTCGTCAAAGTCTCCTACCTCACCGAACAAACCTCACACCACCCTCCCGTCTCTGCCTTCTACATCGATTGCCCCGAGAAAGGTATAATTGCAAGGGGATATGATCAATTGAGCGCAAAGTTTACGGGCACAAGCATCCGCGTGATTGCTGGCGCGCACAATCTGGGAATCTTCATCACGTTGCAGAAACGGGATGATGAGATGTACCAGCTTACTCACCCGGCCGCTTATCTTGGAGGTCTACTGAGAGGTAAGTTGTTTGGATTGTTTGCGGCGCCGGGGGGGAGGATCTGATCAAGCTTCTAGGCTCGCTAAGTGTTTCTGTCGCCGACTCCTGCTACGTTACTTGCGCCAAAACAAAGACGAAGGTCATCCTACAATATCTCGAGGAAGGATGGCTAGGCCGAACGCAGAACAAGGTCGAGGGTGTCATCTTTAAATACGACCCTGATAACGATACCAAGACCAAGGTCAAGGACGTCCCGGATAAGGACGTGCTAGCAAGGATAGAAGGCTGCTGGCAAGACAAGGTGTACTACACCCTCGGCAGCCAGCCCTTCAATAAGTCTTCCGTACGTCCCCCCTACCCCTTTCTCCCCCCTACTAACCACCCCCCAGGAAAAAATCCTCTTAATCGACCTCAACCCCCTCTTTCCTGTCCCCAAAATCGTACCCCCAATAGACCAACAACTCCCGAACGAGTCCCGCAAGTTCTGGCAAAACGTGACCGCAGCCATCGTTAATAAACAGTATTCTCAAGCTACGGCGCTCAAGCAGGAAATCGAGGAGAAACAAAGACAGAAGGCAGCGGAGAGGAAAGAGGTTGGTAGGGATTGGCAACCGAGGTTTTTTACAGGCGCGGTAACGCCGGTCGGGAAGCCGGATTTGACGAGCGATGGGGAGGAGGTGCTTAGAGGCCTGCATAAGGATAGCTGGGCGCTGGAGGAGAATAAGGAGTATGGAGCGTAAAGGGGAGCCTGGAAAACGGCATGCGGTTAGAGTAGCGACACGACATGACATGTATTGGAGTCTATCTGGGTGGGCGGGGGGACCTTCACTTGAATACCTAGACCTAGACCCAGCGAGAGCGAGTGGATGAGAGGATGGTGGCCTGCGGGTCGTTTCGATTGCTTTGCTTGGTTGAAGCCTCATCAGTCGGAGTTTGGCTCTTTGCTTACCTGGTCGGGGGTGTTCGCACTTGCTATTTATCGGACGGGTTGGGTAGTGAAGGAGGAATGGGAGCGATGGTATACCGGGAGTCTTTGCGCACATGATTGCATAACGATGAGCAGATATCACAGTCTAATAGATTGAATTCCTTTAACCCCCCTTAGGCTATGCTATATGTTTGGCTACTTGTGTATAGTTCTATAGGTTACCGCCTACTACGGAAAATTGTAAACGGGCATTTGGGTTGCGAATGAGGCCCGCTTCGGCATCCAGGCCCGACCGGGAACAACATCGCCCATCCCGTCCGCCCGTCCGCCCCGAATTCCAGAACCAGAACCCAGCAGAAGCTCTAATATAGGCTAGTATGAAATATCTTGCTGCTGCTGGGCTGCTAGGATATCTAGGGGTTGTGTGAGATGGTTGGGGTCACATCACCTCACGTGGTCGCTATCCCGAAAGCTAAGTGGTTGGATGGTGCGAGGTACAAATCCCCGCCGTGCCCTATGTGGCGAAAGATCCTTGCGTCCCGAAAGAAACAGAGTACCTGGATTTCGACGTATAGGCGCAGCGTAGTCCCGCCTATACGCCGTGGTTTCTATCAAAATCCTCGTAGCGCGAATCGCGATAAAACGAGCAAGCAATGCGGCAACTCTTACTCGAAGATTCGCTAGTTTCGTTGTCCAGTCGCTCGGCATACCCAACATGCTTTTATGTTACCGCAACTCTTCTTGCACAGCAATGTCACCTCGTTTTAGCGTAAGCTTGAAACTAGTGCGAGTTATACACTCGAGTTTGCAATACTCTCCTCTTGTATTATGGGCTATTGTCTCTTAAGGGCGTGCTGCAAGGCGTGAATCCGCAAAGCTTGGTACATCAAGCTCCAGCGACGAAAGCGGACGCAGCAGTATCTGTAAGCTGGAGGGGGCTCGACAATGGGCTGCCCAATCAACCTTGGGCTTGGCGTCTCATCGTACTTTTAAATCATATAGCTCCTCCGACCCTCAGTCCACAATACATCACCCCTTTCATGACTCATACCCAGTACAAGGCTACAGTATCATTATTATGTGATACTGAGACCTACGGCTATATGTATTGTTCCGATTTCTTTAACCCGTTTGCCCCCTGTGAAGCGCGGCAAAAGCTTTTCTCTACGGATTATTCTCTCTAGCTTTGTCCACGGAGCCTCTATCGCCCAAGGATGAGAGGTTAGGTGTTGACAGCAGGGAGGAGAGACACATGTGGTGCAACTCATGAGATTGCCGCATCAATGAAGTCGCAGTAGCACCTTGTTCAAAGATCAGGTTAGGAAGACGGCTGCTAAAAGGTGTGTAGTGCAAAATTCGAGACTATTGGAGCCTTACGTCCCTTATGCTATTGTGCCTTACTATGCCGCTGCAGTTATTGTGCCTTGCAGTGCCACAGCGGTCTTGATTTCTGAATGTCCGATATACACTCTCTGCAAAGACATGCCCTCGCTACTAACCGCCTTGCTACTAACCGTAAGAAGAGCATATCGAAATTTCAACCAGGAGTAAATTGTGGCCTCCTATGGGTGAGGTATGTGAATTAACGTAAATTTTAAGTCACCCAAAACCCATAGAACTCGAGCGCCTCGAAGGCGAGCCCCTTTCGAAAGGCTATCGTGGCGAGGGTACGAAGAACGACCCGAGAAAGCTTGACGTTGTGCGCAAAGGTTCATGGGGGGTGCGACTCCCCGGCTAGCGTAAAGGAGTCCTCGCTTCGATCGTAGTTACTATCTTGGTATTATTGCTAAATGCAATTCTAGCTATAATAGCTACGACGGCATGGATCCAAAGGGTAGTATTGCAACGGCGTTCATAGGTGACTGCAACAAGGTCGCAAGGTAGACAACAACTCTGCATTTGATCATCAACTTACTTAGCAGTCTGCTGTTTGGTGCTTCGAACTATTGTATGCAGCGCCTAGCTGCTCTAACGAGGAAGGAGATTGACAGGGTACATGCAAAGAAGAAATGGTAGGATATTAGGGTGCCAATCATAAGGATTCTCTCATCGATTAAGGGGAGGGTCGGGCTGTGGACCATGCTTGGTTTAAACAGCTTACCTCTTCACCTCGTGTGAATATTTCCTAATCTCCTACGGCCATAGGCTAGTCTCTCGCCAGCTATAACTCGGTTGTCTTCGAAGCGATCCTAACAAACGACGAGTGTTCGTTACCGTAGCCTAAAAAAATTTTCAGACAAGAATAGCTGGTCAATTAAGTACGTGGGTAACTTCGATACTTCGTTGAATGCTACGTCCGAAGAATCCCTTACCTAATTACAGGAAACGCTGTCAGATGGAAAGTATCCAGATCACACCCATTTTGAGAACATCACCGGGCCCAATTGTGCTGAGCGCTATATCTCCCCTTTATTACAACGGGTACCGGCTTCGACATTCCAAATGCAGAGTACTAGAATGAATATCTCTTGAATGCTTCGTATTATTTGTCATCCCTACCGATTAGCAGTGGGGGCTTGAATTTGGATAACAACTATGGTTGTAGATCCCTCCCGATGCTCTCTGCCCTTCCATTCTCCATTATTTTCTAAGTCTAGGTATGGTCCTTGGATGAAGAACTCACTACCCTAAAAGCGCCAAGCTATTCGTACTTCGCAAGTCACCGAACTAACCGCGGCTCCGAGACAGCTTATGCGAGATCATTCCTTCAATATGCTAGTCCAATCCTCAACAATTACCCTTTCCGTTGGTTATCGCAGTCAACATACTTAAAAATTGTTCTTATGGCTCTCGTTCTCTGGCACCTAAGCTGCCTACTCTAGACACTATTGGTGATGCCATTCAATCTTTCCTCACAAGACCTGATCCCACCACCGAAGAGTGCTGTCTCGTGCCTAGGCACAATGCGGATGTAGTTTGGGCGATTCCAGAAAACGGACAGAATCATCGATTCAACCCTCGTAGACGAGATTGGTCTAGTGCTGTCAGTGTTGCCGATGGTCCGTTTGTATCGCCTTGTAAGGAATGGGTTTCAATGCTTTTTAACTCCGCTAACCAATGCCAGATAAATCTCAATTGTAGCTGTGACGGCTCTTACTGAAATTAAAACAGGGAAAGAAGGGAAGTTCGGCATAGTTGACATGAACACGCGTCAAATGACCTAACACACTCTTAATTTGTTTGAACTAACCAGATCTTTAGATTATCTACTTGGCATTAATCTCCCCTTTGGTAAACAGTCCATCTTCCTATACGTCCTCCTAGCAAACTTGCCGCAAGCGATAGCGTCTTCTATATATATCACATACAACAGCCTCTTCACCTATATGCTAGCTACCGCTAATGGACTAGATACACCATCGAAAGGGTCCTGTTGCGTGTTACTATGCTAATATCCAGCCAACGCTCAACGTACTTCCCCCCACTGCTTATGCGTGGAGCCTTCCGCTACTTGCCGCAAGTACCTTCTTCCGTTGGTTTATATCACAGTCGATTTCCTCGTCCACATTGAGATACACCAGGACGGTATTTTTTGGCCTTCAGTGATGACAGGCTAAGGGCATGATATTAAGATCTTCCCGCTATCGGAAATGTATTTATTGGGCTAGGATACTTAGGGGGTGCACTCCATTGGGGGATTTTCTTGGCTATTTCACTGGTTATGATTGCCTGCTTGTTGCAGGTATTTGTACGTATCCAAGTGGTCTATCGGTCGGCGGGACAAATAGCGCCGTCGTTAGTGTGGCGTGCCACTTGCGACATGACTTACACGAGGACCAGCCAGAAGACGAAGTGCAAGAAGACATTACTAGGAGCCGCTCTAGTGGGGGTTACAACACTGGGGGATCGAACTGATTGAGTAGAACATTGTACTTTAGTAGCGGAGAGGTTAAACCTCTTGAGGCAGAATGTCTATATGCCGGGCTGGCCAGAGGGTAAGTCTAGCAGCAATATTTGGCGACACCTTCCCCAATTAAATAAGGAATAATCATGCTTAAAAATCGCCACACATGTATCTGCTGTTTCATAACTTGCCTGAAATAACGGCATGGTTGCATTCTATCATGGCCATGCACCCTGACGCCTACTCTGCACTAGCTATATACATAATGCTCCATCTTGCCTTCTACAGTTCAAAATCCAAGCATGAAACTTACGGATCCCTTGTCTGACGCGATACTCGACCCGGGAAAATAAGAGAAAGCGAGACAATCTGTACATTGGAGAGTGTCGGGGGTCCGCGAGCCTAGGGATCTAGTCTCTGCGCCTCGCGTCTACAAAACCAGTCCTGTTTCTTGTACTTCTTTACCGTCCGCGTATTTGCCAGGAGACTTGCGGAGACGGCCTCTTTCCACAATCACCGATGAACAGCTTTTCACCGCCATACAGGCTAGAATGCACACTACACCTTACACTACACCCATTCACAACTCCTTTCCCAGCAGCCCGGTTGACTACGCCAAATTTCGACGTCTTGTCCTTCTCTACGCCAACACGCGTACCCTTCGCTATCTTACTTACCTACACAGAGACAACATTCCTACTCACTTAAGTTCACACAGTCCTGTGTTTGCGATTGGTTTAGCCATCCTCAACCCTCGTAACATCCTGCTTCTACAATACGTCTATGTGCTAATGCTGCTACCCCGCGCTACCCTAATTTAGCTTACCGCACGCCCGCTCCGGACTGAGGTGTCTTCTTATACCGTGTTCTTCAAACCGTTATTGATAGGCGGCAGAGTTTTAAAGCTTTGGTTAAGGTTTGTGAAGCGGGGAAGGAGGGTGGGTTTACAAGCCATAAATCTACACACTAGATGGACTATATATGTTAGGAGATATATTATTTGAGACAGGCTTCCTAGAGGCCCAGATGAAAATGAGGCTTTTCTTAGTTATTTTCGGCAGCTGTGGCGTGGATGGCTTGGAGTAAGAATTGATTTACAGCTGACTATACTTCTCACCAGTCCTGTACTCTTGGGAAGAGTACTGTTGTGGAAGAGTGTGCTCGGTGCAATGCTCCTATAAGTGTGAATGGTTGAGTAGTGATCCTCTCCGGTCCTTGTAGGACTACGTACGAGAACACAGTGCTCCGCCACAATACCTTCCTAAGACCCGAATTCACCTGTTCCCATATTGCCGTCTATCTTCGCTATGGTACACTAAGAGAAGGGAAACAAGAGTGGAACAAACGGTTTACATGCCAGTTAAGGCGACACTCGCTTAGAGACTTGTGGGTACAGGACGTAGGCTGCGCTACCACGAAGCGAAGCCCTTTACCGTTGCTGCGGCTGACAAGTGTCAAGTGTAGCACCCTGGATAACAATAGTTCAGACTACTTCATTGCCAAGCTCTACGGGGCACGCGGGGTAAAGAAGTCCGATCAGTACTTGTGGCTGTACTAATCGGTATTATATAATCATTCAGCCATCGTCCACATTTGTAGATATGGCTTGCCGAATGTACTAATCACTGTAGCGAATAGATGTCTTGCACCACACATGGGACTAATAGCACTTCATGCGGGTCGTACATAGTATCGCACCGTTTATGGATTCAGTTAGCTCAGGTTGCAGGTAGTGAATGGACGAAATGGCGTTGTTATGGCAATAATAGTGTTGTAAGGTCCAAATACGTCGGCCGCCTGACGGTCGATAAAACGATAAATCTGGGGTAATTTTCAGGTAAGAGTCTCGATTTTGCTTAAGCTCTGCCTCCATACGATATTGCTTGTTTCTTAGCACGAAAAATAATTTTGGAAAGTTGAGTTTACTGCGAAGTCAAGGGACCTCTCGCTTCGTATAGGATGCAGGGGTCATTCGTCATACAAGAGGGAGAGTTAGCTGGAATGGCCGATCGGGAAAGAGCCGGACACAGTACGAAAATGCAGGGTGATGGATGGAAATTGTTATCGCTTGCCTTTCTTGGTAGGTTGCACGGTGATGAGCTAGGCTGTAATGGGGGTATGTTTGAGGTGAAAGGTTACCTTACAACAGTAGGTTGCACCGTACTTAGTCATCTACCACTCCTCCCTCAATACCTGCTGGATCTTCTTGAAGAGCTCCCGAGTACGCTCTGAATCCCATTTGGTGACACTAGACTGGTTCAACTTCGGGCCAATTGACACTCGGCTACTCATCTAAGTCTTTGCTGTTGCTCGCAAGGTCAAGGGGAGGTAGGTATTGATTTTTGAACGAGCTGTCACAAAATTGCTTCTTCCTCCCACATCAATTAGCGCACCCACAATCGAAATTGCTGGGCTATGCCGCATTCGTCGTGTGTCACCCAAGAATGCACTGGAGGTGAATATAAGGTTGAAGAACCTAATCTTTCGAATTCCACTGTGGTATTTCAGTATTAGTGACACGGCAGAAGACTCCAGGGGGAAATATTGATGGCTACGCGAGATGTCTGTAACCACGAGTTATAGAGGAGTCATGTATTGTGGGCTGAGGGTGCGAAATGGTTTATAAAGTATGGTGGGACGCCAGGCCCAAAGCTGATTTGGCAACCCATCGCAGAGCCCCTCCGACTCACAATATCGCTCTGGATTGCCGTGTGAGGTACGATGTAGGATGGCATATAAGCTTAAGAGGATAAGAGTTGGAAACTCTTGGCTTGAGGATGAAGGAGCTTGAAGTTTAGGGGGTGAGTGTTCTAATCAAAGAGAGCAACTTAGGGAAATACGTGAGCCACGAGTACTGCTTCCTGAAACTCATACGCTCCAATGGCCTCACGGACCATAACAGATGGTAATTCGGACAGGGGTGCGCATCCTTTGAATAGATTTGCCCTGCACTGGGAAATATATGTTGCCCACCCTGGGGGTGGAATAGAGGGTAGGTGCCGTATAAATTATTAATGAACCGCATTTAACACTCGTACGCGTTTTATCTCAGTAAAGAATAGTGGTGAAGGGGCTCACGTGATTTGCCATTGCCCCTTTTCCCGACGCCCCATCGTGGTGGCAAACCGGCCCCTCGCGTACCTTTTCTAAGTTCACTTGTGCTCAGCAATCCCTGTCATCATCCTCAAAGAGTGCTCGAGCATAGCTTGATATCTTCTAAGCTGTAATTGACTTTTGTGTCCTTCACTCTTTCACAATCATGCGGAAAAGTGCTAGTTCTGTACTTAGGCGCCGAAGTTACATAGAAAGAGGAACAGTACAAGTTATAAGTTACGATTAGCTGCAAATTATGCAAAGTTTAGTGGCTGATAGTAAGACACGCCATCAATCGTTGTTGTTAAGTTGCCCTCTGCATAAAACAAATTCGTCATGTAATCAATGGTGAGATGGAAGCCACCGGGGGTAGTCACCTTTGTGCCGGAGCCATGGGCGCCTGTAGATGTGATATTTGAGTACCAATTGTACAGGCTGGCGGTGGCATTGTACGGCGTGACCGAGACGCTCTCGAAACCCATCACCGTGTTAACACCGTTGTCGCAGAGATCGTAGTATGTGACGTTGATGGTCTGTATGTACGAGCCGGATGCGTCGTAGGTGATGGTGACGGCGGCGGAGCCGGACGCTCTACCCTGCAGAACGTAGCTGCCAGCGGCCAGCGACTGTACCGACGGAATCGTCATACCTGGCGTATACTGAATAGCCCAGGGGATGACATCGGGGATCCCCGGCACGCTCGGAGGGTCGATAGGCGTGCGGCTAGTTAGATTCGCCACTATGATCCGGATTCCTTGGCCGTAGGGCTCAGTTGATGTCTCGCACGGGAGGGGAATGGATCCGCCGCACGCGGGCGAGCTCGCAAGCATCTGGTAGTAGACGATGCGGGTGCCATCGGGGGACCAGCGCGGATCGGCGCCGGAGTTCCAGTTCGGATCGTTGACGCTGCCTGGCAAGCCATCGCCCTCGGAATTGATCTGCTGGCCGAAGTAGAGGCCTCTGTCGCCATATTGGTCCAGCAGCCACGGCTGGAAGAAGCGGCGGGCGCCGTTGTTGCGCACCGAGGACACGGCCCCGGTAACGAGCATGTCAATGATGGGAGGTATGGTTCGTAAGCCGGCGAGAAACATTTGGCGCCCCGTGCCGCGTGTGTCCATGATGATCTGCCATCTGCCGTCGGGAGAAAAGTCGATGGGGTCGACGTACTCGGGATGCTCGGTAAGGCGACGCACAGCGCCAGTGTCCAGGCTGATTGCGAAGGCGTCAATGTTGCACGATTCGACCGGGTAACCGATATAGGTGAGCTCTTCGCCTTGGCTCGCCCAGCCGCGGAGCTCGCCCATGGAAATCCCAGAGGTGTTGACAGCGCTTCCAACCGTACGTACTACGACTCAGAAAAGTGAATAGTTACGGTCACGTGAGCCGTACAAACGTAAGAGGACTGTCAATCGTAACGTACGACTGAGAGAGGTCCCCTTACGGTCCGTAATACGTCTCAGAAAGTCGATTTTTCCTAGTAATATAGGACCTGATTAGACATCCATGGGCAAGCGTTGGGAGGGCGTTTGAGGGGGCGTTTTTGAGTAACAATCAGTGAAAACTCTGTTGTGTGCTACAAGCAAGAACGCGTTAGAGAGGGGGGCTAGGGTATTAGATCTTATGCAAACAGTTAACTTTTTGCCCTTACTATTGTCCTTAAGTTATAATTTGCTATTCTCTCTTACTAGCAATTGCTTATACAAAAGGCATTAGAAAACCTTAGAGTTGCAGCAATATTATAACTCTTATTAAGAGGACTTTACTATAGCTAAGGATAACAGCCCCTTGTTCGCAGATCCTCTTACATAGTAGACAAAAGTAGGACGTTTCTCCTACCCCACGCTCTTTAAAATCGCCCTTGATTTCCTCTCTATCCTGTGTACGTCCTGTGACCGCGAGTAGGAGAAGGACTTGCCACCTTAACAGGAACTGCCTCTCTAGAGAGACAATTAAGGCTCTTTAATTGCAGAAGAACTAGCTCTGCTAGAGGGCAATTCACTAAGCTCTTAGCTCTCTTAGATTATATTTGTTCTAGCGTTACGTTGTAACTTCTGCTAAGTTGTTAAGCTGTACAAGGATTCTTAATTGTTACAGTTAAGACTTGTAAGTGGTCCTTATGTTAATTGTATAGTAGAAACGTACTAAGAAAGTCAGACGTAACGTCCCGGATTTGGTCGAGTCGAATCGTATTACGTACGGTTGGAAGCGCTGGGTGTTGATCTGCAACTGATTGCCGTTGGCGGCGATGATGCCCTTGTTGTTTGGGTTGAAGAGCAAGTTGACATTGGTAAGCTCATAGCGGGGATTAGTGCCGTCAGTGCCAGTTGCGTTGAACTTCAAGCGGGGGGTGAAGCCTATCTCATTCAGCTGGGTGCCCGAGTAGATGTATGCGTTGAACGAAATATGAACCTGGTCTGGAGCTAGCCGGAGTTCGCGAATAGAGCCACCCGCCCCAGTGTTAGAGTCATTTGCTGTGTTGCTCCATCTGATCGGGTAGATGTGAACTTCATCCGGTGTGCAATCCTCACTGGCGAGTTGATGCGCGCCGCAGTCGACGATGTTTGTGCCAACCATGACCCGACTACCGTCTTTGAAAGCCTGAGGATATGGAGTCAATGCTGTGGAACCGACACTATTGGCCGCCGAGACACCACAAGTAATGCATTTCCACGAATCGCCGTTGGGGAAAAGGTTGCCATCTGTCTTCAATATGATCAGCTGGGTTCCAGTATATATGGTGGCGGGGTCTGGCGCTGCTGGAGCTCCAACAAAAGTCACGTAGGCGGTAACATGGACACCATCAGGCAGGAAACTCCCACTGCCCATGACATTGCCTGAGGTTGTTATGCTGATACATCCTGTTCCATGAGGATTAAGCGTTGTAGTACAGCCGTTCTCTGAGGTGTTAGAGGTTGCGGGCGGCGGGGGAACCCGGTAGATCTCAATTGGTTCAGGTGAAGGAATGGGTGCTATCGTTGTGCTGGCTGCGCTCTTCTTGCCCAACGAAGGAAATTCGAGTTGGGGGATGCTGATGCTACCGCCAAGCGCAGGCAGAGATAGGGCAACAATATTTGTAGGAATCCGCATTGTAATGAGGGACCAGAATCTAAGTGCCTCGACAGGCTGGGATGCAGCTGACAGCAAATTCAATGCCAGTTTATAACCGCAGAATCTGTAGTAATTCATCAAATGCCCACCATCCGATATGTCCCCTCCTCGGCTCGGGTTAGTAGCGACTACGGGGCTGGGCGTTCTTTTACAAGGGAAAAATCTAAAGTGCGTTACAAAACCTATCCTGGAACTGGTGTCCAGGGGTCTGTACTGACTCCATGCAGCCGGATACGATCTTTCGCATGGAAACACTCCCCGCATATGACCACGCAGTAGTCCCGCGGGGTGGCCGCAGGATGAATTGCGGGCATCAGGACTGTAACCAGGATACTGCTCCTGAGTGAAGCGTGTGGTCGGCGTGAGAAGTCGGAAAATATCCCGCGTACATGAGCGACAATAGCGTTGTGGTCGCCAGATCTTGATTGAAATGTCCGCGGCAGGCGAGCCAATAGAAAAGTGCACAGTATGCGCACAATACGCCGTGCTACCGCGGAGAGATTCTTACGCTAGAAAAAGTCCGTGGCCATCGCTTAGCTTATGAGTAATACACCATGAATGGACACAAATTGGACTGATACGATGTCTTAGCAGTCGGGGGAATACTGGTTTGTTGTTGGAAGTTATCTCTTAAACTACAATATTGCCGGCTTCCGTCTCTACCATACAATGTTGAGAAGCATCTCGCAGACTGCTAGAGGCACGAAGACATGCAGCCAACGACGCCGCAAGAGTTCAGCGCGCCCAGCGATGTAGACGAGGGGCTCTTGCAGTTGAGTCTCGATGAAAAGTTGTCCTTCTTTCTGGCAAGGAGTCGTTCCAAGCGAATGGGCTGGAACGGCTCGGAATCCCCCCTCTAATGGTAGCCGTTGCGATACCTCGGATACGAAGAGAAATACTAATTATAGACATTTGATGGTCCACACGGAATACGCGGGATAAGGTCCCTCCGCCTAGTACGTTCTTCTTTCCACGGCTCAGGCCTGTGCTCACGGTATTGGAATAGCACCCTATTTGTCTTCTGCCATGCGCCATATCCACGATGTTGAGCTGCTAGAGCAAGTCGGAAAGCTCCTCGGTGACGAAGCTCGAAACAAGAATGTCTACGTCTTGTTTGTGCCAACAGTTTGTCTGTAACGATCGCCTCTCCTCGGTCGTGGCTTCGAGGAAATCGGGGAAGACCCCGTACTCAGCGACACATTGGGCGCCGCCTTCGTTCGAGGCCTGCAATATCGAGGTGTAGCTGCTTGCACCAAGCTCTATGCCGCCCACGACTAGCCAACAGATTCCATCGAAGACAACGTGTGTATGATGCGGCGGACGCTTCGTGAGCTGCACTTGTTGCCATTCCAACTGGCATGTAAGCTCTCTAACCCCTGGGCAGCCATGACTGCATACTAAAAGATCAACGGTGTGCATGCCAGTGAAGATCCATTCCTGTTAAGAACCATTCTCCGCGAGGAGTGGGGTTTCGATGGCCTGACCATGAGCGACTGGGGGGGGACCTATAGCACATCCGAAGCCATGAATCCTGGTCTTGATTCAGAGATGCCCGGACCCACGGTCTTTTGGGGCAGGGCTTTGAGCTGGGCTGTCTCTAGTCGTATGGTCTTGGAGGGAGCTGTTGACTAGTCTGTGCGGAACCTGCTAAGGCTGCTTTAGAGGGTGATGCCGCATGGAGTCTCTTCCTCGGACGATCCTGCCGCAGCTAATACCGTCGAGAATCAAGTGCTTATTTGTCGAATTGCCTCTGAAGGTGTTGTGCTCTTGAAAAACGCTCGGAACATCTTGCCCATCAAGCAAGGAGAGAAAAAGACTTCTGCCTTGATTGGGAACCATATTATGAACCCTGCCCTAGGTGGTGGGAGCTCTGAGGTCGAGCTATATTACACCGTCACACAATACGATGCCACCGTCGAAGAGGTAGGAAGAGAGCAGGAAGTATGCTCTTCGTGCATATTGTAAGTCTCTGGGTCCCATCGGTCATGTTCTGCAGCCAACTTGACCGTAAGAATTTAAATTCAGGCCTTACTTGCGGAACCTTACCATTCCGGAATCGGCGGATGCTAGCAGGCTAATCTAGATATTCGAAGAAGATCCCGGAGAATGTTCTCACGCCGACCCGCTGCTCAGGACGACTTCTTCGAAGAACCTGATTGATATTCCAGAGAGCCTCAGTGGCTCCCTTTCTGAAAAATTTTAAGCCCGGGCCCGATCGACGTTCACTCCAGTGAAATCGTGTCGCTTTCGTATCGTCCTGGCGGTCACGGGGTAAGGAAAGCTCTTTATCGACGGTACTGAATCAATCGACCTGTGGACGGACCGTCCTCCCGAAACCGGTGAGACGCCCGTATTGAACCGCGTGTCCATAGAGAGATTTGCCGATTTCGATGCTTTGGCGGGCAAACCTGTTCAGCTGAGTTGTTTCTCAAGAACTTGAGGCTCGGAGAGCTATTGGCACCGCCGCCACACCGACAGCACGCATCGGCGGTTTCGAGGCCATTGACGAAGACCAAGCCATTCGCGAGGCGGCGGAACTCGTGAAGGTGGTCGAATTTCTCACTGCCATGACGGGCCTTTCCATCGATTACGAATACGCAGAGTCAGACCGCAAAGCCTTGCGACTCCCCAACCGCCTCGACGAGCTGATTGAGGCCGTGCTGAGCACAAATCCCAACACGGTGCGTTATAACACGCTCTTCATTTTTCTTCTATGGCTAACGTTGCAAGATCGTTGTGACGCAGTCCGGTCTACCCATCGAGATGCCTTGGGTTGACAAAGAGGGCACCGTTTTGCATGCTCGGTTCGGCCGGTAAGAAACAGGAAATGGCCTGATCGATGTGTTCTTTGGCCACGTCAACCCCGCGGGTAGATTCTCCATGACCTTTTCAAAAGCGCTGCGACATACCCCAGTATTCCTAACATTCGGCAAGGTGGACCCCACCATTCTGTATGGAAAAGGCGTCTTCATTGGGCATAGATACTACGAGAAGATACAGTAGGTTCCGCTCTTTTACTTCGGATACAGCCACTTGTATCCTATGTTTGAACTTGCGAAATTTGTGGTTCTGTCAGTGTTTGAAGCGTCGCCAGATCACGAAATGAAGGTATCTGTCAAGGTGAGCAATGCTGGTCCGTATGCTGGAGCCGGAGTCGTTCAGATCTATGTCCAGTATCTCACGAGCTCTATTCAAAGACCCATTCGGGAGCTCAAAGGTTTCAAGAAGGTGAGAATCGGTGTGGGAACGACGGCCTCGGTCGAACTTCGGCTGGGCAAGTACCCCATTTCGTTCTGGTGCGAGGAGCATTCCCGATGGAAGGCAGAGCAGGGCCAATATGTGGTCATTGTCGAACGAAGCACTAATCCGCAGGACGACGTTTTGCGAAAGAGCTTCACTTTGGAGGAAACATTTTACTGGTCGGGGCTGTAGTATTGCCTTAAATAATTCTTTCTACAGTATTGGAGTCGTAGAATAGTATCTCCGCTCAACCTGCCTCGAGCTAGAGCGTAGCTTCTGGTCCAGTCCCATCGAGATCATCGGATGCTTTGGAGTTGAGCATTGCCAAAATGTCCAGAAGTCTTCGTCCGTAGGTTCTAGCGCGTTTTCTGATCGCATCGTTGCTGGTGGTTAGCCTCAATTCGAGGAGAATGGTCCCTACTCGCCGGATTCGTTCAACCTGCATGCACGGTCAGAGACAACCAATGACGAACGTGAGAACACTAACTGTTGGCTCCCCCTTTACTTGGAGGTAAATGAATGGAATGTCATCTAACGTCTGAAGGAAATCCGAGATCATCTCAATGTTCTTCATGGACAAGACGAGAGGATCGTCGGCCAGCCCCGTGATGTCCGCCATCCTACTCTGGGTACTTTGTCGTAAAATAACCAGTCTGAAGCAATGGAATGTTACGAGGATGGTGCATCTCTGGACCCAGAAAGACCGCTTTTGAAATCTGACACCCTCGCTATCGTCATCGGACGTCTCCAGGTTGGACACATACAGCCAGTGAGGGAGATCGTCCAAGAGACCTGTGTATTCGAAGTAGTCCTGCGCGAGTCGTGCCCTGTCCTGTTCTCCTTGAACCTGTGCACACTTTCGTATTTCCAGGACCAGTTTAGCGGCGCTCAACGAGACGCGTCGAAAGAGATGGAAGCCAGCCAAGAGGCGATCTTCAAATGCTTCATCATACCAAGGCTTGCTGGGGTCCACCAACGGTGCCTCTTGGCCAGAGTCAGGCTGCAGGGTCAACCCTCCATAGAAGAGAGGTTCGAGCAGCAGGGCTGTGCGGTCTCGGAAAGCGGCAGCCACGTGGTCCGAAGCATACATGTGCCAGAAATTCAGACGCAGCAACTTGCTTTCCACAGGGTCAACACGGGGTAGCCTCTCCTCGCTGTACAGGTGGAGCGTCTGGGCAATGAGGGTGGCTTGGCCCTGGACGTGCCATGCGGCGCCGTGCTTCCCCGTCATGTGCTGAAGGGCAGTGGAGTGGAAGACACGGATGACCATGGAAGCCGAGTTCGGGTGCTCAAGGTCATAGTCCTCGAAGGACCTCAAGGTTTCCCGGGAGGCGTGGAGAAAAGGCTTCACAAGGAGATGGCGGTACGGGATTAGCGAGTTGGGCATCACCGACGCAACGGACGCGCAGACGGCGGTAACCAGAGCGAAGCCTCTCAAGAGAGCCACTCGCTCTTGCTCGTTGGCGGCATCGTGATGGGGGTTGGGGAGCGCGTCGGAGAAGAATAGAGCGGCATTGGCGCGCAGCGTGGGCTCGTGCACAAGGGGAGCGGTGGGAAAAGTGTACTGCATATACAGGTCGATGCAGTAAGTGACTACTTGCAATAGATTCAGCGACGGCAGGACGGCCTGTAGCGACACGGCGAGGCCATCCTGGATGCCGCGCGGCGACCGGGCCGAGTCGGGAGATGCGATGGCGGGTAAGTCGACATCGGCAGGCTCCCACGAGGCGAAGCCGTCCGCCGTCGTTACCGTCATCATCGGCGTGGGGGCCATCGTCGGCGTGGGGGGCATGCTTGCCGGTGTCTGGGGGGCGGGCGACGCTTGGATGGGCGACCGTGGGAGCATCCGGGGACCGCGCTTCCTCTGGGGAATTGTGTAGGCGCAGTCGAGGTGCGAGATGCGGCAATTGGCGCAGGGAATCGACGCGTCGCACCTGACCTTGCGCCGCTTGCAGCTGTCGCATGCCCGGCTCGCCGACGACCGTGAGCAGCGCATCGTGGACTGTGGATTGCTGTGGATAAGGAGAATTGCGCACGGAGAAAAAGCGACGCGCTTGTTTTGCAAAATTTCCAGCACCCTGCAAGCGCCATCCCCGCATTTTCATGACTGAGAATTGTTGCCACGGATGCACTCCACACCACTGCAAGCGAACCATCACGCGACGACGGGATGCAGGCGGGAATGCGAGGCGGCGTGGCGTGGAAAACAGGGGAAGCTGGCTCCGCTAGCGGCTCCAGTCATGTCAACATACACAGTATGTACAATACGAGTGCGGAGAGCTCGAATGCAGTCCCCTAGCGAACAAATCCCGCCTTGCGCATCTGGCAGTGCGCCCCCAACTTGAAGCACGTGATTTTCCACGTCGCAATTGTATACGGAGTATCCGAGTAGCCTCCTCCCAACATGGCCGAAAACTGTGCGCCCTGGGATAATCTGGAGGTACCTCGATCTCTTCGTAACCTCGTACCCCCGACTACTCATTATTATTTCTGTTGCGCTGTTAGTGGTATTATATGCAGCTGGAGATTCACCCTATCGCAACTGTCAACTAACAATTACAGAAGCGTCATCGCGTCATCGTTCAGTTCGTCGTCAACATGCTCTTGACCCTGTAACCATATTCTTGCCCATAAAACGCCATCTCGTCTTATCCCTGCTTTAGGATTAGCATATCCAATCCTCTACATCATGCTATGCTTTATGCAACTATCACGAATAATACATAAGTTGTGGTAGAGAACACAAATCCGCCAAGAGGTCGGTTCATTCGGCAAGCCACAGCCGCAAAAGTAGACATGTCGGTATGATTACGTAATATCAAGGCATACCCTTTTGCAATGTTTGGATTTTTACCCATAGTTCTATCCTATCTCCGGCTAGTTTGCCACATTCATCGGCCTTGCTACTTTGGCGGTGCAGCTTGACGCAGTTACTCTCAGACAAGCACCCATTTCCCGAGCTGTCGCTCGAACTATTGATCTGTCTATTTATTCCTACCTCCCTGGCTAACAAGAAATGGGTGCATCCCCATGGATAAGCCTTAGCAGTATGAATAATATGATGCGGCGCAAGTGTCGATGGTTGTGATCAAACAGTGAGGCGCAGAGAGGCTTCTTGTGGTAAGCGTGTTATGTTCTTGGCATCTTGCAGGACCCTGTTGCCTAAGCCCATGGACTGAACAACACAACTTTTACTCATGGCAGCTCTTTACTTCCTGTCTTTACCAGGCCTTTCGGGTAAGGGTGGTTCGGCCGGGCCTGTCCAAACTACGAACCTACGACCTAGCACCAACGACTCACGGAGGCAGCCTTGCTCGGTAGCTCGAAAAGGCAGGGTGGGATTGCCGAAAAGAGGGCTAGATCGTATCTTCAAGGAAATACTTCCACAATGGCAAGACCGTTTCTGGGGGCTAAGGAGCTCTACACCTTTCTTCCGGACGATATTGAGAAACTAAGAATAGGCCCACTAGAGAGCAAACTCTACTCCATACGAGTTTTCGGTTCATTCGAATATCCCAAGCTCCCTGGCCCAGACTACATTCGGCTCCTCCACCTAGAGCCCGCCTCTGATAACCCCTTGGAATTAAGAGGCTGCCTCAAGGTTCACAGGCTCGACGCGCAGTGCGAATATGAAGCTATCTCATATGCTTGGGGCGATTATCCCGAGTTCAACAGGGCTCTCTTCTTGGAAAATCAAGTTTTGAAGATTACCGGCAATCTGTATGCCGCGCTCATGGCATATAGCTACCCTGACCGCACCAGAGTACTATGGGCGGACGCTGTATGCATCAATCAAGCGGACACAGTCGAGAAGACTCAACAAGTCGCCATCATGGCTGATATCTTTAGCAAGGCAAAAACAGTGCAAATCTGGCTCACGCCAGCCTCAGGATGGGCAAAGGACGCTATGGACTTTATGGCAAATCTCTCATCGAAGGCAGAGTCTTTTGGGATAAGTGCTGAAGTTGATCAGCCTCGATGGATCCCGAGCTGGCCTTCTCTCAACATCACCGACGAAGAAGCGAAAAACCTCATTCACGATGCCATCGAAGCCCACGTCGACTATCTCCTCTTTCGCTCGTGGTTCAATAGAGTATGGGTTGTTCAAGAAGTCACCTTGGCCGTGAAGCTGGTCGTATCTTGTGGACATTCCGCCGTGGACTGGACTAATTTCGCCCGCGCTTTAGAAATCCTTCGCGGAGCGCTACGGCAAATCCCGCAAGGAGAAGAGCGATCGAGGCTAGAAGGCATCAAGCCAGCTTGGGAACTTGTACGGCACCGGGACGTCTTCAGACTGCTGGATCAACATGGTGATAGGAACCATCATCTCATGACCAACCTTGCCGGGGTGCAGATGAGTAACAAGGCTTGCTCTGACGATCGCGACCGGGTCTACGCAATGCTAGCAATGACGAGATCTCCATACTCTATGACTCCAGATTATGACAAAACCGTAGCCGAAGCTTATACTAACTTCACCAGGAGGTATTCTCCAAACACACAAATTTATTCGGCGGGACTGTGCCGAAGACAACCCCGCACCAATTTTGGGGGTGTAGACATGGACCCCAAGAATAACCAACGACTGCCGATTGATATCGCAGATCGCAACTACCTGCCTTCGTGGGTTCCGGAATTTCGCCCATCATTAAACCTTGCATGGGCTTCGCCATTTAATGGAAACTATTGTACTGCTAAAGGGACCCCGTTCTACTTCCTCCCGCATCCGGAAATGCTCAATGTCATGTGCGTCACAGGCACCATCTTCGATGCTATTAGCATAACCAGTTGGGAATACGACTCGAAAAGCGCACTGAATTGCGTGTATGACTCAGGGTTCTACTTTTCGGTTATCGATCTTCTGGAGAAAATTACTTGCTCTTCTCCTGACTTTGTATTTCAACCCATTTCAGAACCACCTTGGCTGATCCTAGCTAAAACCTTGACTTGCGGAACCGGCGAATGTTATGGAGCGGAATTCCCCTTAGTGCGCTACTCTATGTTCCAGAGTCTCAATCACCTCGAACAAGGTAGCTTGCCTTGGCTGACTGCAATCTGGGATCGCTTCACAGCACATTGCTTTGCTCCAACCGGAGAAGTATTTCAACACATGCTCCTTAAGACACTGGGAGTAGAGCCTAGGCCGCTTTCTACGGACGGCAAAATTGCATATGGGTTCCTTGTCTACTTAGCTAATACCCTTGTTTACAACCGGTTATTCATAACTATGGAAGGATATGTAGGACTTGCTCCAAGGTACATTCGGGGTGGTGACCTTGTTGCCATTCTTAATGGCTGCCATATACCATACGTGGTTCGGCCTGCATGGGAGGTGAAGTACAAGGATGAGCTGCTTAAGGGGGCGCTCCAAGTTATTGGGCCCTGCTATCTTCACGGAATCATGAACGGAGAAATCCTCACGAACCGGGATGCGCCCCGGTTCTCGCGGTTGAAATGGACAAGGCACGACGGTGATATGGCTGATTCTTTAGAAGGGTGGATGACGCTGATCTAAATCACCTAATGCGAGAAATGACTTCAATGCCTTATGTACTTGCTTGGCTCTAGAGCTGCAACTTACGTATTTGAAACTCACAACAATATATCGAACACATTTTTAGGTCTCTGGGTAGTTGATTAGCCTGCTTCTTTCCTACACGTACAACGCTCTTGTTCGCCACAAAATAGGCCAGGCCGCCGAGAGTCAAAAGCGAGGCGATCTGAAAGAGAATGTGTAGATTAATTATAGCTTACATAAATTTGTGCTATGCAATGATACCGCCATGTCTGCTTATTTGGCTGTGGCTGCCCAAGATACTGCCCCCGTAGCGGATTTGCATTTTGCACCACGTATATCATTATCAATAGCCTGAAAATGCAATGTGAGACGATATATGCTCCGAGGACTCACTCCGTGGCGTAAAGCAATGATAAAATGTAAGCTGACTAAGGAACCATTACTGGTGCTTATAACTCCCTTGTTTGCAGTAACGGAGCATTCCAAGCTCTACTACCTGCTCGTATTCATCAACCACTGCTGCCTACCCTAGTGTTGTGCTGCTTTAGCACCATGCTGTCTGGCTTCCTCCTTGGCATATATAGGCCCTTAGGTTCACTTCACTCTTTAGCAATCAACCCAGTTCCTTATGACCCTGGTGCTCCTAACGGCTTCATAGCCTCCATGAGTCCCACAACCTTACTATCTTGTCGTCTGACCTGGATGTAACGAGCTTGCCGTTTGGTGAAGATGCTCCGATGAGACCGAATCTGGATATCTGGAGCAATGCTCCTGTGCCCGAGTCCCACAGCCTCACTGTCTCATCGTATGACGCAGATGCCACGAGCTTGCTGTTTGGTGGGAATGAGACTGGTTAGACCGAGTCTGTAAGGCCTTCGAGTGTCTGGAGCAATACTCCTATGTCTGAGTCCTACAGCCTCCCAGTCTTTTCGCTTGACCCCGATGCCACGAGCTTGCCGTTTCGGGAGAACGTCAACGGGAGACTGAACCTGTATAACCCTCGAGTGCCTGGTGCGATGAAATCTAGCCGTCTAAGATTATTGGAGGCGCTGCGATCTATTTTAGAACCGAATCCCAGAATTTTGTCGTAACCCAGCTGGCTTGAGGGCTAAAAATTGGAGCTGAACTATATGCCTGTAAAGGTGCGGCTGAAATGAGTTGCCCCTTGCCAAGAATGAATTTCGTAGCATCATGTATGAGGGTGAGCGGTTTTGTGCTCTTCGCAGTCTTCCACGTAATTAGAAATTGAATTTCTAAAACTTCTGCCTGGATATAAACTCACAATAACTACTTGCCAGAGCAGTCTGATATCCTGGCCCGTCTCATACATCTTCTCCAAAGGCCCTTAGCTTCGAGCCAATGAGAATGTGATCTTGAAGAAACATGTGTATCATGCTGTTGTCACAAAGGATACTTCCGCATCTCTGAATGTGACCAGGACTCTTGACGCAATCGGTGAGATGGTTAGCCTAGTAGCAGCACGCATATTCAATATGCATAAGAGGGCTATTGCTGATCCAATCCACGCGTGCTAGAAATAGTGACTAGCTATGAGGTGCTAAGACTTTCGCCCGAAAGGGTAGAACCTTTGTTGCAGCTGCATTCTATGGGAAGCTGGTTTTGCGAGTGACTTCTATAATTGCTAGCGTAGGTCTAGAAGCTGTCTATCGATACACAAAGCTCATGATGCCTTTTTGACGTTTAACTTTATACGGAAGGTACGGCTGCCGGTCTCTGACGGCGCAAAACCGCTGTTACAGGCTATAGCTGTGCATAAGGGTTAAGCCGCATTCGCTAATGGCTATATCACGACCTCGGGACGGGTACAGCATCAGCAAGACCTTCGTAGATGGTCAGATCTATCATCACCTTAGAACAGCTACAGCATCGGCTCGAACGAAAAGGCAAAGGCAGTTTCGTGACACGGCACCTGGTATTTCGGCAGCGTGTCTGGACCGCAACGTCCGGTGCCCAGGCCGGCGTGGGCTGCGTCCAGTCTCACAACCACATCGTCCTCGCGCCTCAAGTCCGTTGGATGTTTTGCGTCGAACGTGCTCTGGGCTGTGTAATGCTGCGCCGTGAAGTCGAACTCCATCGCACCCGCTTGTCCAACCTCATCCACGCGCGCGACGCGAATGCCCCTCCCCTTGCCGTCCGTGAGCCTCAACCAGCGTGTGCCTGTTCGATTCCCGTTCTCCTGGGGGAATTCGTAGCTGGTGTGCAGTGTATCCGCTGTGCGACTGTGCAACCCGAACTGCTGCGAGTTACGGCTGTCGGCGTACGACTCCTCAGGCCCGATGCCGAGCCACTGGGCAACCCGGAACTCTGGCCGTAGCCGCATGTCCAGGCCCAGGCGTGGTAGCTTGGAGGGACAGTGGCCCCGTGGTCTAACGTGGTATCCCAAGAGCACGGTTCCGCCTGGATAGACAGTGAGCACGCTCTTGGTGTCCAAGCCCCACTGGCGGATGATGGCTCCGATGTACGCGTCTACGGTGATGTGTAGTGATTCTTGTGGACCGGCGTCGAGTGATACGGAGCGCACACGGACCTGCATGTTGTCGACACAGTACTCCTTCCACTCTGGCCAGTTCCTCTTCGTGTCGTTCTCCGTTGGGGGCCGCCAGGCTGAGATGACGGGGCCACTGGAGAGTAGCTGTCTGCCATTTAGCACCCACTCGGACAGGCGGCCAAAGACGCGGTCGAAGTCGAGGGAGAACGTCGCGCCCTCGACGCGATACGCAAGCCCGGAATCCGTCAGTGAATATCGAAGTGACGGTGACTGAAGGCTCAGTGGAACAGACGGCCATGAACGCTGGGAGAGCAAACACTGGCACCAGGCGATCTCATGGCCACTCTCTGCCCATGCCGTGGCGCTGCCTAGTTTGAGCTTGGCAGTAACCCAGCGGGCTAGTTCGTCGTTGCTCCCAGTGGTGAGATCGGGGAGCGCGAGAATGCTAGTCTCGAATGGGCTTGTAATCGGACATGCGAAACTCTCGCTGAGCACTACTTGCTCCTTTGGCTCGTGACTACACGGTAGACTGATTAGTCGGTGACCAGACCCAAAATCAACATTTGCATACTCATCTTCGACCACGGCCACCTCCACGACAATAGAAAGCCCCTCCAGGTTGTAAAAATCGAATAGGTTCCGTATCTGAGTCTCCTTCTTCTCTGGATCAATTATCATCTTCACCGGCTCGATGACCTTCATAAATTCAACAAGGCCACGTGCGGGTGTGTGATCCGAGTTGACGATTCCGTCCAATACAAACGTTGCATCATTTGGATTGTCGCCAAAGTCTCCGCCATACGCGTAAATGCCTCGCTGCTCGTCCCACAGACCGAGGTTGGAAAATTCCCAGAGGAAGCCACCTTGGAGCCTGCGGTGTTTGTAGAACATGTCTTGATACTCTTGCAATGCTCCCGGGCCATTGCCAATCGCCATAGCGTATTCAGCCAGTATGATTGGCTTTGTGAAGTGGTCGCCCTCCGACAAAGCCTTCTTCTCCAGATTCCAGAGCTCCAGGTACATATACGAACAGATATCGGCCGTTTTTGCCTCTCGGTCTCCCTCGTAGTGCACCAGTCGCGTCGGGTCATGAGCCTTTGCGTATTCGAACATAGCGACATGGTTGCAGCCATACCACGCCTCATTGCCGAGACTCCAGATGATAATTGACGTATGGTTCTTATCCCGCTGAAGCATCTGAGCAACCCGGTCGACGTAGGCCTCTCGCCAGGACGGATTATTACTAGTGTACTCAGCCACGATGGGACTGATGACTTCCTCGACCGAGTCCGCACCGTCCCATTCCGACGGTGGTATATTTTTCATGCCAACCTTTGCACGCTCAAATCCGTGGCACTCTAGGTCGGCTTCATCCATGACCCACAGGCCCAGCTCGTCGCACAAGTCATAGAATCTCGGATGGGAAGGATAGTGAGAGGTTCGCACTGCATTGATATTGTGCTGCTTCATTGTGATGAGGTCCTGTCGCAAGAACTCCAACGGGACCGCCCGGCCAAGGGTAGGATGGTGATCGTGATGATTGACGCCTCTGAAGCAGATGGGTTTGCCGTTGACTGTTAAGTTTCCGTTGCGCATTTCCACCTCCCGGAAGCCGACTTTTTGCGAGATCTTCTGGCATGTTGTACCATCCTTGGACCTCAAGTATATCTCGAGATTGTGGAGGAAAGGTGTCTCGGCGGTCCATTTCGCCGGATTCGCCACGGGAATCTCAACCCTCACGTCGGTAACGTTGGTTGCTACATCCCGAGTGTATTCTCCAACTAGAGCGCAGTTGTCCTGGAGGCTCACCTCGAGCGTGCTGGGCGTCGTGACATGCAGATGCAGTATGACCTGTAGCGTCGCATCGACATACTGCTCATCGAGAAGCGTGCGGACACAAAAGTCATTAATCCTCGCGACGGCAGAGAAGCCTAAAAGATGCACGTCCCTGAAGATCCCTAGAACCCGTAAGCACAGTGCGATTGTCGAAACAAGACGAATAGTTACCAGAAAGCCACCATTGATCCTGGTCCTCGATGTAAGAGCCATCGCACCATTGATAGACCCGGACCATGACTTCGTTGTCGTCATCTGCTTTGAGGTAGCCGGTAACGTCGAATTCGGCCGCGTTTCTGCTGCCCTGGTTGTAGCCGACCTGAGCGCCATTGATGAAAAGATGGAATGCACTGTCCACTCCATCGAACCGTAGCCGCAATTGCATGGGCTGCTTCCATTCTTGCGGAACGCGAATGAATTTCCGGTACGTCCCAACCGGGTTGTCCGTAGGCACAAACGGCGGGTCGACCGTGAACGGATATGGAACATTCGTGTAGTGAGGCTTCCCAAAGCCTTGCAGCTGCCAATGGCCTGGAACTTGAATCACATGCCATTGGCATTTTGGATGTGTAGGGTCGACTGCGTGCAAAGGCGTTGGAGCGTAGTCAAAGTCCCAGAGCCCGTTTAAGAGAAGAGCGTGTTCCGGGATGAAGTAGGCCCTCGCTGGGAGGCGATTACGCTGAAAGATGTGTTCATTGCAGTAATCTGGAGGTTCCTGTGGCTGGAGGCTCACACTGTCTCCAAGGATCATCTTGAAGTCGTTTTTCTTGCACCGGATTCAACTGCAACTGCATTCAGCCAGCAAGAGAAGTGACACTTCATATATAAGCTCGCAAACAGCGAAAGAAGTGCTTAAGGCAGGAGCCACAGCACTCGGAGGAAGATACTGCGCGCTATCCAGGCGTGGTGCCCCTGGATGGCTACACACACGCCGTTCGAGAGCATGATCCATGTGTTAGGGCTTGCAGACGACGGATCTGCTTGAGTGGGAAGCAACAGTTGAACCCGACTACTTGACCAGGGTGCTTGGCCCCTGACATTTACACTTGGCGCCAAAAATAATTCCGCGGGTTCCTCAGTGCCGATCATTCCGAGCGTGCTGATGGACGGAATAACCAATGTGCGAAATGAGAATTCTCCGTGGCCATTTTTCCATTTCACTTTTCGGCCCGCCGACTGAGTCTTGCCATGCCGCTGCTTGCACCACCGGGCTATACATTGTCAAGCATGGAGCAGGGCAAAGTTTTGCCCGCCATTTTGACATCTAATCCAACGCCGCCACAGCTTCCGAAGAGCAGGGTCGTCTATATATTCCCAAAATGCAGAGCGACAATGGCATTCCCAGACTGAGCAAAATCGGCTCGACATGGCAGCTGCTTGTCGACGAGAAGCCGTACCTTATACTCGGTGGACAGGTCCAGAATTCGTCCTTTAACTCGGCAGAGTACATGAAGCCAATATGGGGCAAGCTCACCAAGATGGGAATCAATACTGTTATTGGGCCTGTGGCATGGGAGGACATCGAACCAGAGGAAGGATCTTTCCAGTTCTCAGACCTTGATGCCATCATGGCAGATGCAAGATCGCACGGCTTGCGTTTGATATTGCTGTGGTTTGGGTCATTCAAGAACGGTACGTACTTCTTCCTGCTCTGCATTTTTGGATGATAAGGACAGTACTTAACCTTTGCACAGGTATGTCGACTTATGTACCGTCTTGGGTGAAGAAGGACGCCTCTAGATTCCCACGGGTGCAAATTGAATCTGCCCAGAACGTGCTCAGAACAGTTGAAGTCATCTCAGTTTTTCACCAGCAATGCGTAGAAGCAGACGGCAAAGCCTTTGCTGCTTTAATGCGGCATCTGAAAGAGAGCGATCTGCAAAGGACCGTCATCATGGTGCAAGTGGAGAATGAATGTGGAATTATTGGCGACTCGCGCGATCGGAGTTATCTCGCGGAAGCTGCATTCCAGGCTCCTGTTCCTCCGCAATTGATTGACTTCCTCGTCCAAAATTGGAGTACACTTCACGCAGACTTTACGCGAAGCTTCCCAGCCTTCTGTCTAGAGAGAATGTCAAGGCCTGCAAACGATTGGAAGGGGTGCTTCGGGCAAAGTGCCCGAACTGACGAATTATTCATGGCGCATCATTACGCTCTATATATTGAGAAAATCGCAGCGGTCGGGAAGGAGCAGTACCCGTTGCCGCATTACATCAACGCATGGCTGCCCAAGCCAGACGACACACCCAAAACCGAGGGCCTTGCCGCGGGAGGACACAAACCGGGAGTCTACCCTTCCGGAGGAGCCACAAACAACATGCTCGATATATGGGAACAATTTGCCCCATCAGTGGACTTCATCGCTCCAGATATATATACCGCCGACTACACCGAGACTTGCATGGTTTACGGCAGTCGAAAGTACCCCTTCTTCGTTCCTGAACAGCGCAGAGACAGTTTCGGAGCGCGACGAATCACTAAGGCAATCGGCTCCTTTCGTGCCATAGGGGTCGCTCCCTTTGGGGTTGACACTATCAAGGTGGAAGACTGCGCATTTTCGAAGCTCTATAGGCTCTTAGGATCAGTATCGAACGCCATTCTTGCGGCGCAAACCCGTCCTAACGCCATATTTGGCTTCTTCTTCGACCAGTATTCTCCTCCCGCGGACAAATCACACCCTCGTATTACGAAGCAATTTGCTGCGTATGAACTTGTGATCAGCAGGGCTTTCGTACTCGGCCAGCCGGGCACGGGCTCTGGAATCATAATCGAGCTTGACCCAAGCCGATTTCTGATCGTGGGCATGGGCTTCAAGGTCGAGTTTAAGTCACTGTCGGCCGCGTCGCGATTCACGGGCATCCTCACGTGTATGGAAAAGAGGGTAATCGATGCAGAAAGGGGCGTGTTGGAAAGTGTACGAAAGCTGAATGGAGACGAGACCAAAGGAGGAACTTGGTGCAATATGCCAAACGAAGTTCCAGACTATGGGGACCAGTTCATCCCCATGTGCATCCCTGCTGGCACTATGATCACGGAAGTTGAGGTATATTCACTTGGCTAGATAAGTCCGCTCTAGAAGATATTTGGTTTCCACCTTCACCGTGGTGCTTGACTCGCTACTATCGTGCACAAGAAAGTCTCCATTTATGACTGTGTATGAGCACGGATGCATCGGAAATCGATGTCCGTACCTGGTGTTCGGCTCCGAGGCCCCACTGTTTCTAACCCAGGATTCCCCGTACCCCAGGACCGTTTAGGTTGCAGGCCCAAACCAACTTATCGGAGCTCTCAATTACAGATTGCCCCCGCGGAGAAATTCTGAAGAATTCTTCCACGGAGAGGACCCCAGTAGCGCCGCATTTTGTACTTCAAGGCACTGGGATGGAATTCACGCCACAGAAGGATCCTCCCTAGCTAAAATCTATAGTATAGAGTATGCTCAGATCATTCATGCCCATGGGGAAGTATGCATCTCGGCAGCCCGGGACCATGGGACTCCTTACTCGTTCTTTTCTCTGCCTGTTGAATTATTTAAACCCCATGCAATACCTACGCTGAGAAACATCTCAACCTGTCTACCTGTTCATTCAGCACAGCAAAGATGGCATCTGAGCAAAAGCAACCGACCTCCATGCAGCAGACTCTCGAGCATGGCATCACCGTCGACGAGGCCACCCATCTTGCAGACCAGACTTCTAGTGTCAAGTATTCGCCATGGACGCCGCACATGTTCCGCCTCTACGGCGTGCTGCTGTGCGCGTATTTCTGCGCTTGTCTGAACGGTTACGATGGCTCGGTCATGGGGTATGTCGTTCAGGGCGGTCCTGTGTCACAGACGAATGTTAATCTTTTTACTCAGCGGCTTGAACGCCATGACCTCCTATCAGAAGTACTTTAACATGTGAGTCACTTGGCTGTGCTTTGACCATAGTCGTAGCTCATGCTGTTCTAGGAAGTCAGCTTCTGCAAGCACGGGATTTGTTTTTGCCATTTACAACGTCGGTAAGTGCCTACCTTCCAATGCGCACGATGGACGCTTATGCATATTTCAGGAGTCATTTGTGCCATCCCATTTGTGGGGCCTACCAACGACTACTTTGGGAGACGCGCTGGCATGTTTATAGGATCGATCATTGTACTTGCTGGCGCCTGTGTCATCGGCTCATCGTCCACCCATGCCGCCTTCCTGGCTGGACGGTTCGTACTCGGATTTGGCGTTGCCTTCTGCAACGTCAGCGCCCCCATCTATGTTGGCGAAATCGCCCATCCGGTGTGGCGTGGAACAATGATGGGTGTTTACAATTCATTCTGGTAAGCTCAAGCTGATTCTAGGGCGACATGTGAGTTAAGATATTGTCAAGGTCTGTCGGTTCCATTGTGGCCTCCTGGGTCGTCTACGCCGCCGCCCGCATGGAGGGGCGACAAGTCTGGCGCATCCCGCTGTATTGCCAGCTTATATCTGCCAGCATCGTTGCCATTTTCGTCTGGACGCTGCCGGAAAGCCCTCGATGGCTCATCGCCAACGGACGCAACGAAACCGCTCGAAACGTCCTGGCTGAGTACCACGGCGAAGGAGACCGCGACCATCCTCTTGTTAAGTTGGAGATGGCAGAAATGGAGAATATGATCTCGACGGAAGCCTCCGACAAGAAATGGTGGGACTATCGCGAGCTGCTCAACACGCGTGCAGCGAGACGCCGTATGTTTTGCGTTGTCACCATGGCGGCCTTTGCACAGTGGTGTGGCAATAGCGTCACGAACTACTACATGCCGGTTATGCTCGAAAATGCCGGAATCACGTCGCAGAGCAAGAAACTCATGCTGAACGCCATATACCCCGTTATCACCTTCCTGGCCACTCTGATCGGCGCGTGGTTCATGGATAAGTTTGGCAGAAGAAGGCTGCTGATGACGTCTCTCGTCTTCTGCATCATCTGCTTCTCCATCATCACGCCGACGTCCAAGCTGGCCGCCGAGAACCCGTCCAAAAGCACGGCCGCTAACACATCCATTGCCTTCATCTACCTCTTCGGCATCTCATATTCGGTCGGATGGTCGCCGCTCTCGCCCATGTACATTGTAGAATGTCTCGAGACCAGCACTAGGGCAAAGGGTAAGTCCGTAGCGCAGTTTGTCACTGCGCTCGCTAGCTTCGTCATCCAGTATTCGTCCGGCCCCGCCTTCGAACACATCAAGTACTACTTCTACATTGTTTTCATAGGCTGGGATTGCATCGAATTTGTCGTCATCTACCTCTTCTGGCCCGAGACCAATGGACGCACGCTGGAAGAGCTGGACGAGGTGTTCAAGGCGAGGAATCCCGTCAAGAAGAGCCTGGAACCCAAGAACGTCCAGACCATCATCAACGCTGCGGATGCGCAGAAGACTGTGGCAAACTAGGCTCAGACTTAACCCAATCGCTGTGGACATCTTAAATGGGCTCTAGAAGCTAGCCGCTTAGACATGGTAATTCCAAGCTGTTGTGAACTTAATCTCTCTCCCCTTTATGAGTAGGGATATTTTGTTGGTAGTTATATCTCTTTGCCATTATTATGCTGTCTACTCTCTACCTTGCTTTCGTGGCCCTGGAAATTCGCGGTGTGGGGTTAGGTGGGCTTATCTGATGTCAACAAACTAACCAACTTGGAACGAGAACTCTTACATCTGTGCGACTGAGAAGATGATAGGTACATACAATAAATATGTCTATCCTAAAAAGGTTCAGCATTCACAGCAAGCGTGATCACTATTACGACCGGCCTACTTGACTAATGCCAATGAGAACAGCAATGATTTTCTGCCGAGAGTAGTCGGGCTCCGACATTTCTTTCATTTAGCCCGATCTATGCGGCGTAGTGTTCTAGTGCGTAAACGCAGCGCTGAGGAGAAATACAACTAAAAGGGAAATAGAAAAGCCGATAAGATGCAAAACGCCATGCTGAAGAGGAAGTGATATGTAGGGCATTAAATAAGAAGACACCTGTTCTTCTATCCAAGTCCCAAGGTATATGTGTCTAGGGAACCTGGCGTGTTTATCGCGGCTGCTTAGTGCCTGGCAATAATAGAAGCGCTGCATTGGCAAAGCTCTATTGATGTCTCAACACCGTGATTCATGGCGCCTGTGAGCACGGTCATTGGCAGGGTTGGAAAGGAGAGATGCCGTGCAGTGATTCATATTTATATCGGGGCTAACCCTTAGGAGTTAGAGGGCGTCTCCATATGTGGCCTCGCGTAACTATACTGTAAAGGAATTGTTGTGGGGACGGGACAACTTAGTCGTGATCCCGAGAGCGCCAACAGACGCGTTAATAGAGGATAAGCGCCTCCAGGTGCATAGGTGAAGTTTGCAGAAGCGGCCATAACCGAGCGCGCTTGCTGGAGAAGGATGTATGAAATATTGTTAGAGACGGATGTGCATTTAACTGAATCATTGTAACCTGGCAGATCTCGTTTGAGCACATTGGAAGGAAGATACTGACGGCTGCTCGGCTCCTGTCGCTGACAAACCTGTTCGAAGAGTCCCGAGTTGCTTCTTCATGATCGATATAAGGAAGACGAGGATGGGGAGGCTAGCCTCGACAACGAAACCCATACGCTGACTAACCTTTCTTTAGCCGAGATGATCGCGGACGGACGCAAGTTAGAGATGTACGGCCTAGTGCAGCTCTCAGCAAAGACGTGGCTGGGGCTACAAAATGAGTTAGAGCTGTAGCAGGCGACGTATGCAGCTCTGATAGATGAAAGCTACTTGATGGGGGGGTAGGCGAGCTGGCCAGTGTTATAGCCGCTGTTTCTGGGTGCCCAAGTTGTGGTGAGCAGCCGGCCGAAGGACATAGGCGCTAAAGGCACGGGCATCATAGCTCTTCAAAGCGGCGTGGAGCGCAAGCAAGATGGGACGGTGTAGTAAGACGTAAGAGATGGAGTCTGCTGCTTTCCAGGTCAGGGAAACTGGTATGGGAGTGTAACACTCAGATATGCTCAGCAGACTGAACGGCCTTGGCCAGTCTTGAGCAGGGCCAGAATAGTGACACAGAGGTGACGTATCAGCCAGCACTGGAAGCAAAGCGGCTGTTGGTTCGGACCATCTCGACACTCTGAGCTGAATGGGAAATCTGGAGTCGATGCACTGGAGCCAAGGTCGATAGAAAGATACGGGAGAGCTGAAGTGCAAGTACGGAAGACTTACAAGACGAAGCTCGAAGAGGATCATCTCGACAGGGCAACTAGTATGAACAACCTTGCCTTCATGTGCGAAGAAAATGGAGGTGGTGCAGAAGCCAAAGGTCCAATGTGTAAATGTGTACAGCTAGCCCGCCGCATTTTAGGTGTTGGCTATCCCTAGTCTAACATTTTCTCGGTGCTGGCTGGATGAGTGAACGTTAGAGACTTAATTGAGGTTGGCTGCACGTAATTGTGATAGCTTGATAACATGTACCCTTGCAGGGGAAATAAGGCTTGAGAGAAGTCATGTATTTGTGGATTGAGGGCCCGAGGAGTTATATAATTCATATCGTATCGTGGGACGCGGAGCCTAAGGTTGATTCGGGAGCCCGAAACTTCCATGTAAAATGGTACAAAATGATACCAATTTGGTTTAGCGCATGTAGCAGCCCGATCCTGGTCGAACGTTTCCAGGTCTCATTTATCTCTATCATCCATAACATCAGTCTTCGCATGACTCATCTATCCTAATACATAGCTCATCCTGCATCTACAGAATCCGTGCTGTTGCCTTTGGAGCGGCATTCGCAAGTGGGATTCCTGGAGGTTGCATCGACGATCGAAGCCCAGCCCCAAGTCTCTGTAGACGCAACCCCCATAAAGCGAGACAATGCCCTGAAAGACAACAGTGGGCTCACTCAACGGCGCGTGAATGGAAAGGCTATCCATGAGCCATACATAAATTAGCTTTCCCCAGACCACACTACGGACAATTTAGCCTCTGCCGGCCCCGCATCGACCCCTTGCTCAACGTACTATACACATATTAGCATTAGAACATCGCAGATCAACACCATTCTACACATTATACTCCCAATGGCCAGGGCGGAATCAAGCTTCTTCTACTATCTCTCCATACTCCATGAACCTGTTTCCCACCTTAGCTCTTCATCTCCTACGTCTCGGTATTACAAGATCGCCACAGTCGTCTTACCGTAACACAATCTGCAATTGCTGTCAAGTCTCCCAATTTTGCCGGTCTCTTATTGACTTTTACTCCAATCCTATCGCCATTTGTCACTACTGCCTGCCGCAAATAGTCTGGAGACCTTAAGATCCGACAGATTGAGCTACACACGGTCGTCAGCGGGCCGAAGGTCACAACTCCCCTGCTTCATTTGGAAGAAGATGATCACTGGAGAGGCATTCCTGGCCATGATGCCATGCGCAACGTCAAGAGCACCCTTTGGAGCTAGATGAAAGCTCATTCCACCTTCCCCGGATTCACATTTACTTAAATTCGTGGGTTCGCCGATCGAATTTTCGACACCTTCGTAGCTTCACCTCGCGATATCGAACGTGGCACGCGTTGTTTATCGCCCACCATGACAGGAATTCAATACATCGTCATGGCCATCGCGGCCCTGGCCCCCCAGGCCTTCGCTCAGACCTGTGCGACCATCAACCCGGCAAATCCGGCGACTTTTGCTTCTGGATATTCTGGTCGCGTTGTCATGAATGGCTTAAAGACGCCTCGGGGATTCGTCTTCGACTGCCAAGGCAATATTCTCACTGCAGAGCAAGGTGGCTATGGCGTGAGGTATATCCAATTGACCGACAATGGAGGGACGAATGTCTGTGTTAAGTCGTCGAAGCAGCTGATTTCGGATAGCTCTGTATGTTTGGTTGCATTTCGAATACCACCTTGGACGCGTACTAACACCCCCCAGATCAATCATGGCATTGCCCTGACCCCGGACTGCAAAACTCTCTTTGTGTCTTCCCTAACTACAGTCTGGTCCTGGACCTACGACGGCACTACCGGCACCGTCAGCAACAAAAAAACTGTCGTCCAAAACATGAGGAATGGTGGATTCCATCTCTCCCGGACTTTGCTTGTGCCTAAGGCAAACCCGGATGTCCTCATCATCCAGCGAGGTTCAGATGGCAATCTCGATTCTGCGGCTGCTAAAGTTGAAACGGCCCGAAGTCAACTCCGCATTTTCAAGATTGCGGATATCCAGGCCGCGGCTGTCGATTACACCAAGGGCGAAGTGTTGGGCATGGGGCTAAGGAATACAGTTGGCGTTGGTGAGGATCCGAGGGGCGGCATTGTAAGTGTTTCTAGATCCCCCTACATATATCTAACGAGAAACCGCAACTCTGTGCTGGGGACAATCGCTAACTTCGCTCTCTAGTGGTCCGTAGATAATGGCTGCGATGACATGAAGCGCGGCGGCTCCGACATCCACCAAGAGAACCCCTGCGAAGAACTCAACTACCACGGCATGATCAACGATACCGCCTCCGCTGAACGCGGCAAAGACTACGGCTACCCCGACTGCTACGCGGTGTGGGACCCATCCATCATTCCCAACGGCTCCGGGCTCAAGGTCGGTCAAAACTTCGTCATCGACAGTCCCACGGCTGGTAACACAGACGCCACATGCCAAGCGAAGATGGCGCCGAAATTGTGCTTCCCGAGCCATACCGCGCCGCTGGATATCAAGTTCAATGCCAAGGGCGATACGGCATATGTGCCATTCCATGGCTCTTGGGACCGAACGTCACCGGATGGTTACCGGCTGTCCAAGGTCGCGTTTGATCCGGTGATGGGCATGCCGACTGCGCCTTCGACATCGAAGACGGCGGCTGTGAATATTATGTATAACGAAAATCTAGGGGGATGTCCGAATAAGTGCTTTAGGCCTGTGAATGTCGCGTTTGGACCTAATGGTCAGCTCTTCATGACGTCAGATACAACAAATGAGATTTGGGTTATCGGGGGAGCTACATATAAATGAGAGGAAAGACTGGATACTTGAAGGAAAGAGGAGTTGGGCCAGAACGATACGCTCGGCTGTATGTAATTACCTGTTGTAGAATACACAATCGTTTCCGGAATTTGTGGGGACACGTGCTTCACCTTTGCCCCAGAACTGGAGCGATCATAGATCTACAATGTTATCGTGCGGCATCTCATGGTATTTTGACACGAATGGCCGTGTCAGCTATATAGTTCATGAGCCTTTCCCAACGCCATTGACCTCGCCGGCCGGTATCGTGTAATGCACCCATAATCATCGTCGCCACATATCGCATGGTAACCAATCATGCCGGTTGCTCGAAGGACCTTTTGATCACACGAGAAAATTCTGCAGGAAGAGTCAGTAGTGTTCAAAACGGGGTTCCTTTGCCTGAACTCACGGTCGAACTTCACATTTTCCCTCACTACGGTACCCTTAGCCTCATTCTCCTTGTTCAATGGTATCTTAATCTTCACCCCCTCCAAAGTCCAGCCACAGACTGTCCCAACAAAGTGGTCAAACTCCTTGCCCCGACAGTTCAGCCACGACTCCAGGATAGCCCTATCTACCTCCCGTATCGACTGGCTGACTGTCACGGCAATCCGGACCCGCATCAGCTCCTCGAAGCCCGACACGTCAGCAACCAAGTCGGCGTACAGGTCATCCGAGTCTAATGTGTTCCAGAAGGCGGAGTAGTCTGCACCGCCGAGCAGGTTGTTCAGGACGTTGAGTTTCTGCACTGCTTCCGAGAGCGGCGCGTCGCCAGCCGCTGGGGCATGTGCCGACGTGTTGAGGGGTGCGAGGACATGGGTCGAGAGCAGCGATAGACACAGGGCGAAGTCGGGGTTGGGGAAAACGGTGAGAGCCTTGACGAGGATATTGGTAATGGTTTCGTCGCGGTTGAGGTGGGGATTGAACTGGTATCTATGACACAGAAGTTGTTAGCAGATGCCTAGCAAGTCTGCGGGGAAGGAACAAGATAGAATTGGGCATTCAGATAGAGCTAATAGTTCCACGTCACAGGGCGGAGGGATTCAAGCTCCTGTCCCTCGGGTAATAGGAAACGTTGTGGATTGGTGTTCATCATGAAGCGCGACCAAGAGAATATGTCTCTCAGAGGGAGGGGAAACGGAAGGGATAGATGTACGTACAGCTTGAGCAGAGCGAGGTTAGCGTAACAGTCGTAAGTCTGGTTCTCACACTGCTGCATGACATAGTCCTGGAAGACGGACGTAGTCTCGGGGTTGTAGCGGTCCAGCCCATTGAGGATCTGGTCGATGTGGTCTGGCCGGTCTGGCGCTAAGTCGAAGGGGACGCCCATGATAGATTGTGTGGATGTGCGACACTTTCGTGGTGTTTGAAGTCGCTGAGAATTTCAGTGTGCTGATTATGTAAGTGCCGAGCGTTCACTAGCCACATGCTGAGCCACCACACCTCCCGCTATCGATAAGGCACCCAAAATTTTCCCCCCCACCAAAACATGTCCATCAGCCATCACCATCCACACTAAATCTGTCAGACCCCCCCCTTTAATGCCCCCTTACCCCTCACCCCTCACCCCTCACCCCTCGCCCTTCACTCACCCCCTTCAACCCCCCCCCTAAATGCCGCCTTACGATAGCGAGTCTTCCGATGAGGGCGAGAACTACACCGAAACGAATGTCCTGCTTGGCTATGCCTCACAAGAAGCGACAGGGGATACCATATCGCATCTCGGAGGCTATCCGGTAAGGTTCTTCCTTTCCCTAGTGCGCTGCTGTGATACTCACCGTGAATAGACATGGCTGGACGAGAAGAGCCCTCTCTCTGGTGCCCAAGCAAAATGCAAAGTGTGCAGCGACTTCCTCACTTTACTCCTCGAACTGAATGGCGACCTGCCCGATCACTTCCCAGGCCATGAGCGGAGGCTGTATGTCTTCAGCTGTCGACGGAAAACTTGCAGGAGGAAAGAAGGCAGTGTGCGGGGAATGCGGGGTGTGCGTGTTGCGAAATGCAGCGGGAGCAGGGGCGCTAAGACAATTCCCCAGAAGGCAGCCACGAAGGATGTCAGAGTGGAGACGAAACTACCAGCGAATATTGGGGAGGCGCTGTTTGGCGACAAGAATGGCGGAAGAACCTCGGAACCCGCGAATCCTTTCGCCAATCCCTTTACCTCGAACGCGAACAACATGACCTCACCGAATCCATTTTCTTCTCCGCCGTCCGCACTTAACCCGTTTTCTAAACCTTCACCCTCCGCCCCGCCACCTGCCAATTTAGTCGAGGATGAAGCCTCCACCACCCTCCCCGAGACCTTCGCGTCAAAAGTCTGCCTTTCCTCCCCACCACCACCACTCGTCCAACCGACCCGCCCGCACGAGCCTTGGCCTGCGCGATCTTCGCTCCCACCCGCGTACCCCCACTATCATCTAGATGCAGAATACGAGGCGCTCGAGGCCCAATCTACACCGCAGATACCAAACACAGCGCGAATGGACATGGACGCGGAAGGCAGCGGAGTGCGAGGGAAGGAAGACAAAGAGGTCTTTGAGAGCACACTCGACAAAACATTTCAGAGATTTGCCGATCGAATCGGCCAAAACCCGGAGCAGGTGTTGCGATATGAGTTCAAGGGCAAGCCGTTGCTATACAGCGATGGCGATAGCGTCGGGATGCGTCTAGCAGCCCACTCAGAGAGCGGGTCATCCTCGAATGCAAGGGTCACGATAGGCTCAAGAGGTGGAGCGGGCATCCCAAGATGCCAACATTGTGGTGCGGATAGAGTGTTCGAGGTGCAGCTCACGCCCCATGCAATCACTGAACTTGAGGTTGATGAGATGGGCATAGAAGGTATGGAATGGGGCACTGTCATCCTAGGTGTGTGTGAAAAAGACTGCAAGCCAAGCGATATCGCCGATGGCGAAGTGGGATATCTTGAAGAGTGGGTGGGTGTGCAGTGGGAGGAGGTTACGTCAAAGAGGTAACTCCTCTCACATACCTACTTTCTTCACTGTATTCTGGCAATGTGGATTTTATGGTTTGGCGCATTCCGCTGTCGAATGCAGCCCTCAGTCAGTTGTCAGCATCTCATGCTACGATGACATAACGATCTATGGCATTCATTGGCATGATGATCTATGGGATTATTCGAGGGCTTTAACTTTCCAATCTTCCTGTATGAGGCAAGATGCTAGAAATCGGAATGTTCCTCGGTCATTGGTGCTTAGTACCCACGACCTCCATCACAGCTTCTCCCACAACACCTCGCGACTTCAACCCTCTTCACAGTATTCTTCAATATCCTTCCCAATCTAACCTCAAGCCGTACTAGCCTCCCCATGCCATCCTTCTGCTTCCTGGTCCATCCTGGCCCCATTTCATAGCATATCATCCTTTCATCGTAGTTTTGTCCTCGCTAATTTGATCCAGGTTATCCATGTCTATAATGGTGAGCTCTGCGAGCGTCCGAAGCTTCTTTCTCATTTCGATATTGCGGCTCCAAGGCCTTTTGCGATTGGCACAAGTGCTAGAAGTACGTCGACTTGTTTGAGAGCGCCACCAGCGGCAACGATGTAGCATGCAGCCGAACAGGTTCTAATGTGTGTTATCACATGACACGGAGCATAACTAGGGTGTGTCCAACTATCAAACCACTTGTTAAATTAGGGAGAACGTCAACAAGACACAGTTTCCTTGCCTCAACTACGGATCCCTGATTATTAGCAGAGCTTGCTCTGCTTAATATATTCGGGTTTGCAGAACGAAAAGCTGAGCAGAATCTCCTGTTTTAGACGCGCTAGTTAGGTATAATTTCTTTAGATAAACCCTAGTAACGCTATTTCTCTGTCACCTTATGTATTTCTTACATTATTTTTATTTTAAAAAAAGTATACTTAACATAAGTGCACCTTTATGTTAATTTGCACGCAGTTTGCTCTAGCATGCGTTGTGAAAAACATGTTTAAATTAACGTACTCCATAGGCAAGTTAACGTACCTAACAGGTTGGCCGGCCACACAGGTTGGCCGGCTACTTTTGCTAAGCCCCCACTAAAACCACCCTATTCTAGCGCAAAACAGCCTACTTTAGCCCTATATAAAGTAATATAACATAAGATATTATTTAAAGTCTACTTTTACTACTTACTTATATATATGTAAGTTATGCTTTACGTACCTAACAGGTTAGCCAGCTACACAGGTTGGCCAGCTACTTTTGCTAAGCCCCTACTACACTTTACTTATCTACATAATGCCTTAACAACAACACTAGATTAAATTTTCTAAAAAATGTTAAATATAGCTTACTTTTTAAGCTTTTAAATAAGACTTAGAACTTTTTTTATAATATACTATAGCTATTTATAATGTCTTTTACATAACACTAAGTAATTAACGCGCTAAATAGCCTTTATAAGCAGAATGCTAGCTTAAATTAAGAAATTTAACTAAGCTTAAAAAAAAAGTAGTTATTAAGTATATACTTAAGCTTATTATATATAAATTTTTTTTAAGCTTATAGCTAGAGCTAATATAGCTAATTTCTTGCGCATAGAGTGTAATCTAGGCAAAGTTAGCTTAAACTAGCCTAGTATATAGGTTAAGCACTACCCTAAGTTTATAATAAAGTTTAATTATAAGTATAATTATAAAAAAGTGCTTTATAAAAATTTAAAGGTTATCTAAAGCTAGTTTTACTTAATAGCTAATGTAAAAGCTAAGTATAGTATCTAGAATAAAAATATATATAACTTTAATAAGTTAAGCTTTATAATAAGCTAAATATTAACTAAAGTAGTTATTATAGCTTTAAAAAAATAAAAATAGCTAAAAGTAATATAGTAAAGTAATAAAAAGTAGATAATAGTTATTTAAAGTATTAATATAATAAAGTAAGCTATTTTACTTTTTATTATTTTTAAAGGCTGCTATTACTTTTTTACTTAGTATAAAAAAAATCTACTTTAAAACTAGGTTATTATAGTCTTTAAAAATAGCTAGATAATAAATAAGCTTAAGCTATAGTAGTTAAAGCACTTTAATAAGTATATAAAAAAAAAGTTATAAGCGCTTATTAGCTTTTTATTATTAACAGCTATAAAAGCTATAACTTACTTAATTTTTAGTAGTACTATAAAAAGAATAAAATTATTACTATTTATATACCTTTATACTTATTACACTTTCTATAGCTTTTTAATATAGGTTGTTTTACCTCTTTAAAAAAAAGTGTATAAGCACTAAGCTAAAAATCTTATATATAACTAAATTACTTATATTATAAAACTTAAGTTTTTACTATGCTTTATATATACTTATAATATAGTAATTACTTTTAGTAATATCTAAAAAGGGTTTTAAAGCGCTAGTTTAGTTCTATTTAACTTAAAATAAGTTAAAATAGCCTTTAATATTTAGTTATATACTTTATTACTACTAACATACTTCACAGGCGAGTTGCTTACACACCTAAGTTGCTTACTTTTGCTAAGACCTTACTAAACTACTTTTTCTATACTAATGTATTCCCTATAACACTACTTAGACGCGCTAAAAGAATGTTAAATATAGCTTACACTCTAAGCTTTTAAATAAGACATAAAACTTTTAAAGAAATGTGCTATAGCTATATGCAAAGTCTTATAAAAAATAATAAATAACTATAGTGCTAAATAACCTTTACAAGCTAATTCTACAGCTAAATTATAAAGGCTAAGTAATAAAAAAAAGTAGGTAATTATTAAGACTATACTTAAGCTATATGCGTAAGGAATTTCCTCTTAAATAGCATTTATAGCTAATATAGCTAATTCTTTGCACGCTAAGCATAATCTTAGCTATGTTTATATAAACTAGCCTAGTATGTTTGTAAAGCGTTATTTAAAGCTTAAAGTAACATTTAAGTGTAAGTATAACTATAAAAGAGCTTTTTATAAGAGTTTTAAAGTAATTTAAAGCAGGTTTAGCTTTATAGAGAATATTAAAGCTAAGTATAGCATCTAAGATAATAACACATATAACTTTAGTAAAATAGAGTTTATAATTAGCTAAATATCTTTTAACTATACTGACACTTAAAACTTTACTTTAAGCTTTAAATAACGCTTTATAAACATACTAGGCTAGTTTATATAAACATAGCCTTGTCAGATTGAAGCACTGTTTCTGGGCTTCCTGAGATGAATGATGGGTTTGGATATGATGTATGGGATGATTGATTGATTTGTGTTGATTGTGTTTATTTATCGATCCTTTTTCTGCTCTACTCGTGTTGCTCGGCTTTTTGTTCTGCCGATCCGAGTCCCTCGCGCACTAGCCCTATGCGCGACCAGCTTGCAACATGCTGCAATTTGCTGCAAAATGCTGTAACATGCTGCAATTTGCTGCAATTTGCTGCAACATGCTGCAAAATGCTGCAATTTGCTGCAACATGCTGCAAAATGCTGCAATTTGCTGCAACATGCTGCAAAATGCTGCAAAATGCAGCAGCAATTTGCAGCAACATACTGTTCGAGCTTATTGCTCGTACTATGTAGCAGCTTTCGTCAAACGTTCCTCCTGTCTTGACAGTAGGTGCGCATATCTGACAAGCCTAGATTACGCTTAGCGCGCAAAGAATTAGCTATATTAGCTATAAATGCTATTTAAGAGGAAATTCCTTACGCATATAGCTTAAGTATAGTTTTAATAATTACCTACTTCTTTTTATTACCTAGCCTTTATAATTTAGCTGTAGAATTAGCTTATAAAGGTTGTCTAGCGCTATAGTTATTTATTATCTTTTATAAAACTTTATATATAGCTATAGCATATTTCTTTAAAAGTTTTATGTCTTATTTAAAAGCTTAAAGTGTAAGCTATATCTAATATTCTTTTAGCACATCTAAGTAGTGTTATAGGGAATGCATTAGTGTAGAAAGAGTAGTTTAGTAGGGTCTTAGTAAAAGTAAGCAACTTAGGTGTGTAAGCAACTCGCCTGTGAAGTACGTTACTACTTATTAATAATAAGCCCTAGTAGTTATAAACTCTAAGTAATACTTTTAAATTTAAGTTATAATTAATGCTTATAAAAGTAAAAATTTAAAGGTATATAAATAGCTTACTAATGTTTATAGTAAAGGCTTTTAAAAAGGTCTTAAAGGCGCTAGCAATTATTACATATAAGCTAGTATTAGTATAAAAGAAGATTATAAAGCTTTAAGCAGTAAATAAGGCTACTATATAATATAAATTACATAAAAAGAAGTAAATTTAAGTAAAAAAAACCTTAATAGTTAAAAATAAAGCTTATTTAACTACTTTAAAGAAGTTTAGAGTGTATAGTAATAAAAAGAAGCTAAAGACATAAGTGCACGCTAAAGAAAGTAAGCTAAGTTAAAGGTAATATAAGTAGTGTAATTAAACTAGGCATAACTTATATATGTATAAGAAAGTAGTAAAAGTAGACTTTAAATAATATTTTATGTTATATTACTTTATATAGAGCTAAAGTAGGCTGTTTTGCGCTAGAATAGAGTGGTTTTAGTAGGGGCTTAGCAAAAGTGGCTGGCCAACCTGTTAGGTACGTTAGTCTAATTACACTACTTATATTACCTTTAACTTAGCTTACTTTTTTTAGTATGCACTTATATCTTTAGCTTTTTTTTATTACTACACGCTTTAAACTTTTTTAAAGTAGTTAAATAAGCCTTATTTTTAACTATTAAAGTCTTTTTTACTAAAATCTACTTTTTTCAGGTAATTTATATTATGTAGTAGCTTTATTTACTACTTAAAGCTTTATTAGCAGAGCTTGCTCTGCTTATTATATTCGGGTTTGCAGAACAAAAAGTTGAGCAGAATCTCCTCTTTTGGACGCGCTAGTTAGTCAGAATTTCTTCGGATAAACCCCGGTAACGCTGTTTCTCTGTCACCTTATGTGTTTCTTATATTCTTTTTTGAAAAAAAATGTATACCTAATGTAAGTGCACCTTTATGCTAATTTGCATGCAGTTTGCTCCAGCATGCGTTGTGTAAAACATGTTTAAATTATAGTTAGTTGCGTCTGTTCCACCTCTCTAGCCACATCGGTGTGTCGGGGATTGGCATCAGCCGCATCGGTGTGTCAAGGATTGGCAGTTGCTCGCACACCTGAGTTGCTTACTTTTGCCAAAACCACACCACAACAAACTTTATTA